GAGGCCTGTAGACGACACAGGACAGGGAACTGGAACACCCTCCCCAGAGAGAGCAAGGGTGTTGACCCCAAACTTGTTTACAGTGTACACGAAGCAAACTGTCAGGTTTCACGACGACGTCCGAGCTCAAGAGTCCTCGCAGCGGCTCCAACCAGTCGACCAGGCCACAGCAGCTAGAAAGCAGCGCAGCAGTCCACCACAGCCGTTGCGAGTCGTCACGTAGAGGTTTCCAGCTTTCAAGCACCACAGCAGTGCTCACCGCAGCCCCACAGCAGGCCAGGGCACGGCAGTGCCGGCACACAAGAGGGTTGGGAAACCGGGCCAAAACCCTAGCACTAAGCACCAGCTCCCGGGGGAGAGCTGGCGTCACAAGCAACGTCAGTCCCAACACGGGGAAGACTTTCAAGGAAGCAGTGGAGTCTTTCAGCAGCCTTTGCAGAGGCTCTGACAGCGGCCTCCTCCCACGCTTGTACACGAGCAGCCTCGGCCACCCATTTTTCCCTGAGTGACCCTTTAAGTCGCCTAGCTACGCATGCCTTGGCAGCACGGTCTGCCGCGTCATTCAAGGATCGCAAGGAATGCAGGGTAGTAGTAGTATTGGTTTTCAATGGCAGCCATTATGAGTATGTTGTTACTGCCCCGCCTAAGGTGCCCATGAGAGGGGGTGGCAAAACATGTGAAAAGTTTGCTCCTTTTAGGTGTGCCCTTGAGTACCGACATGCTTGTTTTGCGCATGAGAAAGGGTTTCATCCTTTTTGCCTTGAACTGTTGTTTTGGAAGCTTGAACAGGCATTTGCATGGCGAACACATGTTTTAGCATGTTTGCACTTGTCTTGAAGACCGGGATGAGCGCTTACAAGCACTAGAGATGCTTTTTCTGATTACACTGTTGCTGTTTTCCGCCGACCCTCGCTCGCTCATGCCGGTGGGAACAGGCCAAGGGACAGAGTGGCTGTGCACTGCTGTTTGAGTGAGACAGAAGTCCTGAGAAGTCATTCCTCCTTTGTTTAGTAAAGTTGAGACGGAATTTGCTGCGCGAGACTCCGCAAGAGACCTTGCTGAACACTTCGGTGTTTGGCTCAAGCGTGGAGTGAAAAGAGACTTGCTCTGCGTTTTTCACATGGTAGCGGAGCGCTGAGTGCGTTCCTAGTAAAGCCATGGCAGACGTCCCTGTGCCAGAGACCACTGCAGAAGAAGAGTTCGAACTTTTTGGTCCAGGACCAGCTGTGGCAGCGCCTGAAGCGGCTGCTCAGCAGGAAGCGAATCCGTTTGCTCCTGTGCAAGGTCCGGCTCCTGCTCCTCCGCAAGCAGCACAGCCTTCTGTACCAGCGGCGGGTTCGCCATCTGGTGCTACTGTGCCTCCTGTGCAAAGTCCAAAGCCGTCGGCTCCACCTGTTCAGAGTCCGAAGGCTGCTGCTCCGAGTAGCAGCTCTGGTTCTGCAGGTTTTACGCCTGAGCAGATGCCTGGATTCATGATGGAATTGCTTCGTCAGCAGAGAGAGATGATGGCAATGAACCAGCAGCTCGTTGCGACGATGCTCCGGAGAATGGATCTGGAGGAAGAGAGAAGGAACAAAGCGGAAGAGAAAGTTCACGAGGCAGCTGAAGCGGCCAAGCAGGCAGCAGAGGCAGCTAAGACTCGGGACCCCTTCCAGCCGAGCACTGCTCCCGCGAGCAGTTCTGCCGCGAGTTCGGCAGTTTCTCCGGCAGTTCCGTCTCCCTCTGGGTACTCTGGTGCTGGAGGCCGTGCAGAGAAGTATCTGCCGAACCTTCCGGTGATAGACCATCAAGGCATGGGGAAAGGGCGCATGAAGGAGGTAGAGACTTGGCACTCCTTTATGGAGACGCTGAGTTCCTGGCTTGCCCTGCAGGAAGAAGCGTTTGTTCGGGAACTGCAGCTTTGTATCCCTGTGAAAAAGGAGATTGTGCAAGCTGACTTGAATCCCGAGACTGCCGCGCGTAGCTCCAAGCTGTTCTACTACTTGACGCAATCCCTCGCCAAGTGGGAGCAAGGAAGCGAGCTCTTGAGGTCCTGCTCGAAGAGGCAGGGACAGAGCGCCTGCGGCTACGAGGTGATTAGAACGATTACCTCTCAGTACTCCATCGTGTCGCGGATGGAAGCTGTCTTCGTGAGAGAACAGGCTTTGAAGTTGTACCAGCACGTTGGGCATCTGAAGAGGCCCACCGACTTGATTCGACATCTTGAGGATTCGTTTTCGAAGTCTGAAGCGAAGCTGAGCAACTTTCCGGAGCTTCAGCTGTCTGAGGCTGACCGCTGCTCTGTCCTGTTACAGAGCTTGGGTGCAGAAGTGCGTCAGTACGTGGTACTGCACGGGTCCAGCTCGAACTGGGAAGCTCTTCGAAGGACGCTGACTTACTACGAGGAGCAGCTGCGACTGTGTGAGGCCCCTGGGTCTTCGGGCCGAGCCTTGCAGGAGAAGCTTTGCGACTACTGCGGGAAGAAGGGACACACAGCCGACAAGTGTTGGCAGCGCCAAAAGGAAGAACGCGGTGGTGCTCCGAAGGGCAAAGGGAAAGGAGACAAAGGAAAGCCGAAAGGCAAAGGCGACCAGACTCCCAAGGGATCTGGCACGCCCCGTGGTTCCGAGAAGGGCAAGGGCGACAGAGGAAAAGGCGACAAAGGAAAGGACAAAGGCAAGAAGCAGAAGAAAAAGAAGAAGGGACAGCCTGGAAAGGGACGCTCCTTGACAGAGCCGGAGTCCGAGGCCGAGTCGGGAGGAAGCGCCACAGTGATGGCGATGAGGTTTTCCTGTCCTGGGCGTGGTTCTTCGGAGCCCTCTTCTTCGGAACGCCGTGTTCTGAGCCAGCCTGAGAGACCTGAGCCGTCCGCCCTTGTAGTTCCGAAGCCGGGTTCAGGACCCGAAGGGTCGCCTAGGTCTGAGAGTCGAGGTTCTGAGTCTATGGGCTCCTTAGGATCCCGTGTGTTGAAGCACGGCGACGTAGCTCATGTCTGCAAGGCCCTCGAGACTACTCCTGGGGACCTGTGGCTAGTCGATAGTGGAGCCACCTGCCACATTGTTTCAGACAAGCATCTCTCAGGATTTCGTGTTGTCAAGAAGTACGACCGAACGGCCAATCTGTTCAACGCCTCGGGTGGTGCGATCGTCGTTTCGGGGGTTGTCGACCTTGAGGTTCATTTTGGGGATGTTTTCCTGAGGTTGGAAGAGGTCTTGGTGGCGGATGTTGGGTTCAACGTTGTTTCGCCTTGGACCGGGTCGGAACGGGGCTGGAAAACCTATCTAGCCAAATCGGGATCACGATTGTACAAAGGAAACGGAAAGAAGAGCATCAAGCTGATGGGCGCTTCGCGCGCCTGGTGGGCTCTGAGCGGGAGGTCCAAAGGCCGGGGGAAAGAGAATTCTTCCAGACGCCCCCCGAAAGGGATCGAGGATATGGAGATAGATGCCTTGAAGGACCGCGACCTGCTAGGATCGAGCAAGGAGTCCACCGCAGGACCCCAGAAGCCTGGAGAAGGAATCCTGAAGAAAGGAAGAAAGACTTCGGAAGAAGACGAGTCTGGCCGCCACGCTTTGGCTGCCACTCCTTTTGGGTTTCTGCTTCGGGGTCTTAGGGTGGAAGTTGCTCCAAGAGCGCCTGCACCACGGGAGATTGAGCTTTGTGATTTTCTAGAAGAATCCTGCGGCCTCAAACGATACATATATTTGTGCCCTAGGATAGCCCTGAGGATAAGTGTTACGAAGACCTGCTTTTAGGCACGTTCTGGAATTAACGTGCGCAATTCTAAAAAGAGCTCGAGGTGCTGTACGACGTCGTAGCTGAAGCTTAAATGATGTCATTGCAAAGGCCCATGTCTCTGCTTCAACCTATTCGTACACTGCCTAAACCTTAAACCTTAAACCCTGCACTATCCTTCCTAAAACTCACCCCATAAGATCCTGGCACGGGCACATGCACAAACATACATACTGCTGCTGGCTACATCGGCTTCAACAAGCGCACATCGATCTTTTCTGGACCGGCACGGGGCTCGGAAAAGCAGGAGCTTCCAGCTTTCAAGCTTCCGTTCAGTTCAGAGGCATTCGTAAGATCGGAAGTGTGTTTTGAACATGCGTCGATAGCTCACCAAAGTTCTCGTCATAGTTCTGAGAGCAGTCAATCTTGAACTACCGACTTTTCTGGATGTGCGGGAGACACGGCCAATGTAGTCTTCATCGGCCCAGGCAGAGAAGCCTAGGTTAGTTCGGGGTATGACGCGTATATTTGGGTGGCCAACATGCACGCATGCCGAAGTGCAGCTTAGCAACAGACTGGGTTAAGAACCCAGGCTCCTTTTGAGAGCTGGTTGTCCATACTACACCTGCCAAACCATGTGAATGACATCCTGCGCTCAAATGGTAACGGCACAAAGCTCGAATATGCTAAGGCAAGCGGCACTATGTGTCCAAAAAGATGAACCTTCGGTCTCATGCGGAACATTGCGAGGTTGTTCTCAGCAGCATCTCTAGCCAGCCCACAATAGCCGTCCTTGGAAATCAGAAAATCAACCGAACGGTTCAGGTCACGATGCCAGCAGGTCGGGTCTACTATTTGCTTAAGAAACCCCCAAAAAATAAAAAAAATAATGCTCCCTATATTACCCCATAAGGAATATATTTTTTATTTTTGTGGTTCTTAAGCAAATAGTAGGGGTTGTTATTGCAGGCAACAGTCAAGTAGATTGTAGCCGTTCTGCACAGCAAGTCTTGCTTCAGCTGCTGGTACCCAAGCCCCCGCATCGTAGATGATACTGAAGAACTGATTGCCCGATTTCAGCGTCCAATGTAAAAGTTGCAGAGACTCGGATAGCTCTGCCGCTGCCTGAATCAGGTGTGCTGCTTGGGGATTATATAGGTTTGGGAAGTTTAGGGAAATGTGGGCATGGCGCTGGGGGGTTGCATGGCTTCTACTCCGGGATGCAACTACAAATGAAGGCAAGCCTGGTGCAAATCGGGTTGCTAAAGGCCTGTATAATCAAAACCTCAACACATAGATATGTTGCGAGGGACTGATCTCATCGCATCCAACTCCGCCTGAATCCATTTGCTCACCAAGGCAACATCATAGGCCTTGCCACAACCAGTCGGGAACCGTTTCTGCCTCGGCTGTGTGATTTGAAAATGTTCGGGATTTGAGGATTGAGGGCTGATCGGAGTTTAAAGTTAGGGCGAGGCACGACTTCATTTTGAAGGTTTTTTTGAGGTCGAACTCCTTGATTGAGCTCGTTTGCCTGTTGCTTTCACACCATTGCATGAAGGCAGCAAAAGCTTTTTCCAGCCGGGCTGGCAGGGACCTGTCCTCTCCAAATACTCCTTCTCGACTCAGCATGATGACTGCTGATGCTGCAAGGTCTTTGCCAAATCCTAGATTGTAAGCGTGCATCAGATCTGGTTGTATTAGCTCGGGCTTCTCCATGCCAGGAATATCACGAAAAGCTGCACGCTTCCTCTTGAATGGATTCGGGCTTGGATTGTTCCATGTTCGCAACTGGCTGGTTGACCCGACATTCCACCATTCCTTATTCAAACCGCTTCATAATAACCGTGACAAGGAAACCATGCACCCCCATCTAAGTCTAGTTTAAACTACAGTAACCTATATGCTAAGTTTTGCTAAGTTTTCGCTGAGTAACATCGCCAGGACAAAGATGGCAAACTCTGGCACTTGTAAATCCGGTGCTCAGGTGGTACAGCTTTCTGACATACGGCCAGTCTCCTTTGGCGCCGATCACGGCACAGTAGAAAGTATACGTTTCTCCATTCACCTGCACTATCTCACCACCCCTGGTCCTAAGCCCGCCCTATAGCCCTAACCCCTAAACCCTAATTATAGCGCCTTGTAAAACCAAAGACCCATCAAAACTGTGCGGCCCCATTCCCATCCTCGACAGTCACTCCGTCGCGAAACAAGGCGGTCAGATCATCAGCCATGGCCTTGTGGAGGCCGTCCACCGACTTGTCGTTCTTGGCATAACATGCTGATGGCAAGATTGTAGCCAGCAGGCGTGTGGTGTAGGTATGCCTTTGCTCAAGGGCCAATATGCAGTACATGACCCAAAAAGCTTGCAGCCCCAATGCATTGAACATCCTAGGCATGGGGTGAGTTGGGGCCTTTGGTAGTGGAAACTTGGGCCCTAAATCCTAGCTGTTTGCCTCAATCCAAATCCTGAACCCGGAACCCAAACCCTATACCTGTAGACTACATCCTAAACCCTACAAGCCCAATGTGAACCCGAACTCGGTCCCACAAGGCACCCAACCAAGTTGAGTTTGTCCTCACCACTCCCCGGCAGCAGTGGCTGATATGATTCGACAAGCACCGGCTGTTTTGCCAGCCCTCGTCCTTCGTCACCATGCACTGCAACTGGTATGGTAAATGCCCTCTGCCCGGAGGACTTCTCGGAATATACTGCATGGTCTGCATTCACAGCCTGATACCTGTCCCAGAATCTGGAAAACATCTGCTTGTAATACTCTGGCTGGCCGGTAGTCCAGCCACCCAGCAAGAACTCACCACCACTCTGCAAGATATATTCCATCCAACTCGAGAGGTACATCAAGGGATAGTCGGTGACAAATTCACCACCCCCTTTCTTGGGGCGGCGGATCTTCAGGTTCACAGAGGATATCTCCACAGGAAGTGTTTTTCCTTTGCGATGCAGGAAGTTATGCAGGTTTCGGGCTGCATTGCTGTAGCCTTTTCCTGTGCCCAGGCGTGCTATCTCATCCAGCTCGGGATCCATCACACCTGCACGGGAGCACAGATTGGTTTTTGGTCTTCGGATAGGGCCGTGGTGTTGCCTAGGCTCTTGCCAACATTGCCAAACCCAACCTTAACAATCACGTAGGATGTCCGGGGTGGGCTTCCAAAAAAACCCTGCCTAGCTTCTTCATTTTGCGGGATGCAACGGTGGCAAAGCGGACCACACCCTTGGCATCGACCTTGGGTTAATTTTGGGGATTGCGTGTAGTATAGATAATGTAGCACGTGCATCCAGGCCACCCCTCTCTCAACATCAGCCATAAGAGCTTCCACCAAGTCGTCGCTGTCGGAAGCTTCGGAGTCACTAGCTGCGCCTGAGCAGAAGCCCTTAATTGAATAAGTATAATTAAGTATATACCATGCATACTCGAACCCGTGGATACTCTTCGTTCACTTGAACCACACGAGTCAAGGTATAGTCATCCCAACAGCATGCACAAGTATACAGGCCTGAGACATCGAAGGGATCTGGTTGTGGGTCGTCGCGAACGGAGCTACCTGCAAATTCGACACATGAGGGAGGGCACGTAGGGAAAGTTTCGGGCAGGTTCACACAAGCATGTAGAAGGTTGCAGCACTAGAGCGATGCACTTCCGATTCGATTTGCGCTCTGCAGCAGTGATCCCCGTCCAATTAACTGAGACTGCCTGGACCCAGCCCACAAAGCTTCAGATGATGATGCTCAGTCTAGTTATAGCTTCGAATAGCAAGAACCCATATCATCATTGCCACTTCGGGCAGTTGAGGTCCAGGTTTCAAGTTGCAACCTACACTGCAACTGCAGCCGGTTTCCAGCTAGCAAAAGCATGTTGAGATACAACATGCACATAGATGAACGGCCGCTGCAGGGCCAGCTACTTCTTCTTGCCCATCACGGACTTCGGCTTGGATGGCGAGGCAGGCTTCCCTTTGGGTGGGCTGTCTCTCTTCTTGGATTTCTTTTCCTTCTTTGCAGCCTTGGGTTTGTGAGATTTGGGCTTGGTCGATCCGGGCGAGCTCTTGGCATCATCGAGCTTCAGGGTCCTTAGATATGCAGCCTAGGGTTTTGGTCGGTTGTAGGATGCGGACACGAACAAATATATTTGTCCAGGGCACTTGCTGCGAGTAATGTAGTTGTTCAGAGTCACATCATCCTTGGTGCACTTGACAAAGAGGTTCATGATGCCGGATTTGTGCGCTTCCAGGTTCCTGGGCTGGGCTGCAACACAAGGCATAAGGGCTCCATGGCTTCATGCTCAGACAACGCAATATTAATCCCTCACACACGATCGAATAATAATCTAGCGTAGACACTTGCCTTCGGTATCCACCAACACCTCGGCCTCCTTGTCGGTCAGCTGAGTGAAGCTGTCGTTGAGCCGGTTCAAGCATTCGTTGATCTGTTTCCCAATCCTGAGTTTGACTAGTAATAGGACCGTAAATTTTGATTGGTTTCGGCTGTTCGATTGTGCATGTTTAGACTTTCGAAGTCCAGGAACTCCTTGGCCCGAGGATTCGAAGAATTCGCGAGCTTCTCCTAGATCAAGTTGTGTACGCATACATAGCAGCTAAAGAACAGGCCTTAGCACCGGAGTCCTGCCATTCAGTGGCAACCTCGATCTTCCTGCCGAGAACCTGCAAGAACTGTGGCAGGATGCTGATTGGGCTCTCGTTCTTCTGGAGCGTCGGGAAGACAGTCCTGAGAGACTAGCACAAACAACAAACAGTTTTGACACCAAGTCTTAGACTCCTCGGCGCCGCCAGAATGTCGTGCCCCAGCCGAAGCCCAAACCCGTCTACACCGACCATGCAACCTTGAATCCTAATCAACATCCGAAAGCCATGAACCAACACCGGAAGTCCGACAACCTTCTGCTCAAGAACGATATAACCTCTAGACCCCTATGTGCATTTTAGTCATAGAAGCCAAGCCAGCATAACTCTTGTCAGATCACTGCTTGCCCTTGCCACCCAAAGCATCAGCAAGGCGAGCTGACTCCCCAGCGGGAGCCGGGGCATCGGAGGCCGGCTCTTCATCCAAGAAGGTGTTCTTCTCATCCTGCAGGGAACTTCTTTGTTGTTAAGAACAAGTGGAGGGCAACTAAGTGTTTCATATTGAGATTGCAGACTGTCCTCGACCGTGGCAGAACCAGTCAAGTCGGTCCTTGAACCACTTTCGTTCTCGGTGGCGAACCGCTCTTCCAAAACCAGCCGCGCCTCCTCCACTCCATGAACCTCGTTTGTCCGGAGCAAGCCCTGCCGGCGTGCCCAAGCGAAGGAGTTGTCCGCCATTTGCCTCGGCGGTGGCCCAGTTCCCAGCTTCTGCTAAAGGGTTTTGCAGCAATGCATATAAATTAGGTTTTTGGTTTTGAGGTGTAGGGACTTAAGGTGTTTAGGGATCCGTGTTTAGGATATGCAACTATAATACGATCATTCAGGATGGCGACTTGGTGTACTTCCTCTCCTCGATCAGATAGTGCCTTGTGACCCACATACCAAGGCGGGCATCCTTCTCGGTATTTTTGTGCCACTTAGACAGCTGAAGTTCCAACTGCTTGAAGCCTCCGTGCTTGATCAGCATCTCTCGCAGTTGCTGACCTGAGCTGAATCCAGACTGCTCTCCACCCGCATGTTTTGCATTGTAGCTTAAAATGCAACCTTGCAGCGTCCTTCTTTTGTTTTGTACATCTTCATGGAAAGGTCGGAGCACTTCATGACCCCCTTGCTGTTAGGCCGAAAGTATCGGTGCAGCCTTAGATATCGCAGTGCCTTTGTTTAAGGGGGTTGCGGTTGAGGGCTCCGGGGTCTTTATGCATTCGATCAGTTAATTTGTACATCCCGGATACGTGTATATGGAGCAAGGATCTCTGAACGTCGATACGTAGTAAGGGCTGGTTTGGGGCATAGGATCTAAATGAGGCTTGATACTGAACCCCCCTAAAGCCCCTAAGAACCCTCATGGAAACTAAATTGGAAATCAAGGCTCTGGTGGTACACCTTGTCAAACTTCGGACTCGGCTGCGGCTTCAGGCTAACGAAACCTTTTGAGGAGGTTCCTGCGAGCGGGGAAGACACACCCGCCTGTGGCGACACACTGGGTGGCGGGGTGGCGGGATGCGAGTCTCCACCTGGGCTGGCGCCTGGGTTTGTGGATGGCCTTCGTTGCAGGTGAGGGTGGAGCCTTCGTTGCAGGTGAGGCTGGAGCCTTTGTTGCAGGTGGGGCTCGAGGCTTGATTGCAGGTGGGGCCTTTGTCGGAGCGATCTTGGCTCTTGCTTCAGCCTGCTTTGTGGGGTCAGGAGAGGCACTTGAGCTTTCGGTTGTAGTGGGACTTACATCCATCCTCCAGGCACTGTCGAAGGAAGCACCGCGAGCAGGCACATGGAAGGAGTCCGTGCGAACCGGTTGGGCATGATGGGCAACAACATTGTTTCCAGCAGCAAAGGCACCACCTTGGCTGGCGATGGCCGGCGCTCCTGCCACATGCAATGACATTATTAGCTAGGTTGGCGCGCACTCACACACACACACGGCATACTTTTGAAGAGGTCCTGGTACGGACGGGGGCGGCGTAGAGGTCTTGGAAGTCAGCTGCGCTTGCAACCGAGCAATCCGTTCCTTTGCAGCCTCACCCCACACGGCCAAACGGTTCAAGAAATCTATATAGCTAAAGCAGACAGCGCACGACATGCATGTTAATTATGCGAACTAGGGACTTGAATCCGAGCACTGAGATCCGAAGGCTCCACATTTGGGGCCGATGGAGAAGTCGGGACGGCAGAGGAAACCATGCCTGTGCCTTCTACAAGTGTAGCACAGGAAGAGAAACGTGTATACATCCCAGAGGTCGGGAGCTAGCTCGATCCAAACCTGCACAGAGCGAGTGGATCTCCTCGAGGAAGCAGAAAACGCTCGATCTGAAATGTGCGTTCGTAACTGAAATTTTATTTGCGCGCGTTTGCGCCTTTTTGCGCCGATTTGCGCGCTTTTTGTGGTGATTTGCGCGCGTGTTTTTGGGCTGGCACAACGCTAGGCTAATAAACGCTCGAAGCATAAACGCCCGAAGCACGCACAAACGGTCGAGGCTCGATCAAGCTAAGTTTGCACTCAGGCTGGCGTCTTCATGGACGAGCTGGTTGTACAGGTCCCGATGTCCAGCCTCTACGTTCACCTCGGCTCTCAGGGTGTTTTTTGGACGGCGGATTTGGGCAAGCGTTCGGTGTGGTTTGGGGTAGGGTTCGGGTTTTCGATTGGAGCAAACCGAGAACAACTTTGAGACAGGCCTAGTTGGGATTTAGGTGGCTTTGGGCTAGCTTAGCAGGGTCTAGGTTGTGTGGCCGATAGACAGCATAAAGCCTGAGCCCTTGGATCTCTTTGAAGGAACAAAACCAAGCGACCCTTCCCTATTCAGAGTGTACGTTCAGGCCTTGGAAGGGTGGGGCGTTCAGGCCTTGGAAGGGTCACCAGGCACGAGGCACCGGAAATACCCCAGCCCCCTAGAGCCGAAACCGAAACCTTCCTTTCCCCCTCACCAACACCCCGAACCCCCCCCCACATTTCAGTGACGATTTGAACCTTCCATGAACCCCACAAACCCCGGGTGACCTATACCCAGCCCACACCCCAACCCCAGGCGTTCTTGTTTGGGTTCTAAGGTCTTGGGCTTTGGGTTCGTCTTGGGCTTGTCCTCCCTACATGTATACAGGCCAAGTATCCAGGTTGCTGAGTTCACGATCGAAGGTGTAGATAGCATCTTGCCAGGAATCAGGGATCTTCAGATTCTTGTTGGCCAAGATGTAACTCCACACATTGTGCAAACCAGCATCCAACCAAATGTCCGAAAGTGGAAGCTGAGACCAAAGATCCTTATCTGACTTCATCATATCGACCGGTACTTTGTGTCTCATGTCTGGCGCAGGCAGCCCTCGGTCTTCGTACAGATCGGCCAGGCGCGAGCAGAAGCCCACTGTGTAAGACCTGGGATCACAGCTTGCATGGTTTGTGGTGTTCGGGGTTTGGTCCGGTATTGGTTAGCATTGCTTTGGCTGAGGCTGGAGCTGGGTTTCCTTCATTCGCTTGTTACCAGAGAACTTCTTGGTACCATCAGGGTCAGTCCACCTGCCTGGGCAGTACACATGCATCTTCCCAGGTTGAATTTCTAACTATATATAGAGGCAAGCCACAGGTAGCTAAGTCCTGTGCGTGTGATCTTGACAGCCTGCTTTCGAAGGTCCCTTGATAGTTTGCCCAGATCTAGGCCACCAATCCAAGAACCGTTTGATAGACAGATTGTTCTCTTCGGGGTGGCTGCACCATGGTGCATCATCCAGAAGCGGATAGCCCAGACCTGGCGAATCAGAAGCACTAGCTCTAGGTGTTCGACAAACGGGACCACTGGTACATATACACACCCTAGCTGTAATGTAGTCGAAGCACAAAACAGCGGACATTCATAAAATGCTCCCATCTCGGGTGTCGTAGCATCAATGTTTGGGCAGGATGTTCCAAAACATAGTAGATGTGACGAGCCACCACGAGCATGCATACCAAAGTGACCCTTAGCTCTGAAGACCTGCTGAACTCAGGGCTTGCAACAACACCGCTTCCAGCCTAAATGACTGCAGCCTAGAATCCTGGAGATGGTCTTGTTAGCATCTCTAACCCACGACAGCCTTGTGTTGCCAAATACATTAATGAAGCTTCTCCTGCTCGTCCCCATGGAAGGCAGACCCCACGACGAGCAACATGGCCCCATGAGGACCACGCCCTCTGGGCACATGCACAGCACTGTGTGCAGCACAGTCCTGGGATAGGTCATCATGGGGTGTATGTAGGGTTTTAGGGCAGAGTGTAGGGGTTCAGGGTTTTCGGGTTTAAGGTTATGCCGCTGCGGTTGAACTGCTTTAGCATATCCCGGGCTTGCTTTTTTTTTGTTTGGGAGGGCGGCGTGTGATCTTCAGTTCGTGCGATATGTTGGTCAAAGAGCCTCGGAGGCTTCTTCTAATTAGTTAAGCTTGCAAGCTTAAGTCTTGAGGGGTCTATGGCTTGGCTGTTGTGCCACATAGGCCTGCTAGTTCGGGGAATCACCGCAGCTTCCATCTAAGAATCTGTATGATCCTCGATATCTAGCTACATTGTGGGGCCTAGAAGACCTTGTGCCCTTCTAGTTTGGGAAGGATGAGCCCAAAATATCGACGGATTCCAAGCTGGGACCCTCAACCACTATCTTATCTACATGTTCTGCGATATACATTAGAAGCTGCCCCCACCCTGTAATAGTGACCATAAGGATTATATAGGATTATATTAGGGCCCTATTATATTCCTATTATACCACTATTACAGGGTGGGGGCAGCTTCTAAGATATACATCCTGAAAACCAAGATGCAAAAATCCAGCGCTGGACAAAAAGTCCATTGCGCGCGCCTTCGGAGCAAAGTCTTTGTCAAAGCTGGCCACGGAGTAGCCCCGACTTCGCCTCGGAGTTTGGGGGTTTGGGGGTTTGGGGTTCAGGGGTAGGGTTTAGGGGTGGGGGTTGCTTGGAGGCCCTTTTGACTTAGTAAGTCTACTTAGTATCCCATAGAAACCCTATTATAATCCCCATAACCCAGCTTACTAATCCTAGTGACTAAGTCAAAAGGGCCTCCAAGTAGGGTTTTCAGTAGGTACATCACAGGTTGGTGTAGATGCTGCGTACCATACCAAATCAGGGTCCTACCAGATCTTCGATGCTTGCCCACGACCAGCAAAAAGGTCAAAGAGTTCGTACTTTGGTTCGACCTCCGGTAGGTTGGTGCTCCAAAGCACCAGCAGGATGATCCCAATGAAGATCTGGCAGGTGGGCCAGAGCAGCATCTAGATTACTTTCATGAGTCAAGCACAGAGCATGTACTGAAACTCAATCCAGGCCTTGGGAGCCCCAATTTGAATCAGGTTGACAACCATGGACTCATACATGGGGCCATCCATAACAGCAGGCTACGGCTAGTGACTTAGACCTCTCTCCACAAATGTTCCAGCTGGAGCAGCTTGCAAGTGAAGAGAGAAAGCGATCACGATTGCATCGGTCATGCGCGAAAAAATTCTTGCAGGAAGCAGTGCACACCGGCCTGAACCACGTATTCGTGCACGAATGGCCCAGCCCTCAGCTTTGGGCATATACCTGCGTTGGCACGAAGTTCGTTAATGACTGAATGACATCGGTTCTGTGACTGCATAAGTCTCTTGCGGGAGGCATGGACGCAACACCACGGTTTTTTGCCCCGGGAACTTCTTCGATCGCATGTGTGTTTGCGAGCCTTTCAGGCAAATCAAAATCCATGTAGTAGCTACATGTTACATTCACATCGAATGACCTGCGCTGCACACCTATAGAGCTGCTGAGTCACAGTGTGCAAGCACAGCACGTAGCCGAACCACCTTTGCATCCGGCAATGCTTGCAGGATGCATAAACCCATAAAGGCCTTTGGCCTGATTGGATCAGTATGACCCCAAAATCATTTACTCAGTCATCTTGTAGGCCTTAGCTCAGCACATGCACTGGGAGGGAGATTGAAACCGCACCGTTTCATGTTTAACAGCACATGGACTATCCAGACAGGAAACTAGCTTTGCCTCTTCCTTTGCGGCCTCATCCGAAAGCCCGCGCTCCTTGGCAGCCTTCCGAGCTGCGTGATAGGCCACACTCTTGCGGCTCTTGGCTTGCTTGGCGGCAGCCAGAGCATCATCGGGCTCAGCATCCTTTGCGGTTCCAACCTTCGCTCGCTTGGTAGCCGATCCATCAATGGTCTCAGCCTTGCGCTTGCAACCAGCAGACGGCTTGGATCCCTTTGGCAGCCCTGCTGCTTTCGCCTTTGCCTTTGCCTTACCCTTGGCCTTTGCCTTACCCTTGGCCGTTGCCAACTTGGCTTCCTGCACGGACTCTGGGGTGCCGGGAGCCGCTGCCAAGGGGGAGCCGTGATAGCACGTGGCATCCTCAGCATCTTCACTTTCCTCCTCCACTGCTGCCTTTCGCCGGGACGTTGCCTTGGGCACCGGCTTGCTCTTCCCCTTGGCCTTGGCCTTTGTCTTTGGGCTGCACTTTGCCACAGCCCGGCGGCGCTTTGCTGGCGGCTCTGCCGCCATCTCATCCTCCATTGAGACATCCTCAGACTGCTCATCCTCCTCCTCATCCACCCTGCGACCGCGGCCACGGCCGCATGCACGGCCGCGCCCACGTCCTGTAGCACTTCGGCCGCGTCCACGGCCGCGCCCACCGCGTCCCCGGTTGGACCGCTTGGGCTTTTCATCGTCATCGGCTTCATCATCCGCTGCACCCTTGCCAGCAGCAGCCAGGGCGCTCTGCTCTGCTGGCGAGATGGGCGGCAATCTCCTCAGGATGGCTGGAGCAGGGATGGGTGCGGCGTCACCCGAAGCGTGGCTCTGCTCGTGCTCCTTGTCAACCTCCATCTGTGCCTGCTTTGTCTCGGAATCCTCTGGGTCGTGAACGGAATCCTCTGGGTCGTGAACCCCCAGCTCTGCCTGCTTTGTCTCGGAATCCTCTGGGTCGTGAACCGCCAGCTCTGCCTGCGTTGTGTCGGAATCCTTTGGGTCGTCAACCGCCAGCTCTGCGTGCTTTGTCTCGGAATCCTCTGGGTTGTGAACCCCCAGCTCTGCCTGCTCTGTCTGGCAATCCTCTGCGCTATCAGCCCCCGTGTTCAAGGCCTCTGGCAACTCCGGTGCCCGTGCAGGCATTGCTCCCCGTACCGGCTCCAACAGACCCGTTTCTGGATCCTCCCTTGACAATCCATTGTAGCCAACCTTCCCAGCCTCATCGTCATGCACCGGAAACACCCAAAGTGCAGGCCTCTTAGGCTGCTCGGTTGCGTGGGCTGCAGCTGGGATATTCTCAAGGACTGGCCCCTGACTCGGCCCAGTGATGGGGCTCTCGATCTCAGAAGCTTCAGACTGCAGCCAGCTTGAGTCCTTTCTTCCGAGCAGCTTCGCTGTCAGAGCCGTTTCGGGGACAACCTCCGGAAACTCAAAGGGCACCGTGTCGAAAACATCAGGACCTTAGGTGTTCAGGCGTTGTTCTTGTATGCACGTGGCAAGTGATAGTACATGCTATATCAGATCATGCAACCAGGACACAGGAGGTGGCATAGGTTGGGGAGGAAAGCTGGGTCGTTTTCGTGTCTAGCTTGAGGGCAGAAACAAGTTCAGCCAACTTAGCCTCCTCTAGCTCCAGCTCTTGCATGATCTGCAACTGTACCAGCATTTCCTCCTCTGCTAGCAGCTCGTCCAAGATCTGCTTGTCAGCCAGAGCTGCCATCTCCGAGGCCGAAGCTGGGCGGACTGCTGGAACCGTGGATGTGAGGGCCAGCTTCTCGGGTGTGCTGGGCACCGAGAAAGACAATCCTCAGCAGTCGAACTTCAATCATGTTGGATTGCTTGTCGACTTGGTATCACCAGAAGATCCTGTAAACAATGCTAGCAGTTCGGGGGTTAGGGTTTAAGGGGCTTGAATTTAGAGTTTTGGGGTTTAGGGTTTAGGGGATTATTGCAAATACGCGCTGCTGATCTATTGGGGCCTAGGTTCCTTTGGGCTCTGGTGTCGACACCCAGGGGTTGTCAGATGAACCCATGGATCGCTGGCTCAATCGAGCACTTTCACAGTCACTGCCCTTCCCGGAACACGGCGTCTTGACTGCCTCCTCAGGCAACAGCTTGTTCAAGGAGCTGGCTGTTAGGTCGGTGCCTCGGCTCGTGACGGGTCGCAACTGAAAGCAAGCATCTCAAATCTAGCTTGTCTGCTGCTGTCGACCGAATGCAATCTGGAGTCAGTTGGGGTCCTTCAAAGCATCCTCCTCCTCGGGCTCCACTTCTACGTCCTGCTGGGGCTAGGCATAGGGATAGCTGTTATGTTCGTAGCAGAAGCATCAACAGAAGCAGTAGCAGCATCAGTAGAAAAGGAGTAGTTATAGAATGTAGAAGTAGTAGTAGTAGTAGTAGTAGTAGTAGTAGTAGTAGTAGTAGTAGCAGTAGCAGCAGTAGCAGCAGTAGTAGTAGTAGTAGTAGTAGTAGTAGTAGGAGCAGTTGTAGCAGAGGTAGCAGTGGTAATGTAGATCTCCTCTGCGCTGCACGACTCGCTCTCCACCTCTTCGTCGCTGCTGACATCATCATCATCACCAGACTCGCCAGCTTTATCAGCACCTTTATAAGGATGAAGATGCACAGATCGAACGAAGCATGACTCACAGAAGCACGCAGATCAGATATTGCAACAGGCAACTCGAGTGAGCTGGAAGAGGAATCCCTGCTGCATGGTAGATGTCTCTGAAGGCACGCTCCCTTGGGTAGTGCCCCCTCCGAGCTGCCCTTGCGAAGATTGAAACCATGCGTTTCAATACCCACGCTTGGGTCCGGCACACGTCCCCTAAGCTGCCAAACACATCTAGAAAATGCAGTGCAACAATATCATGCAAGCACATTAATATGCCGTGTTGCTGCTGATCTCCGGCTTCCCTCTGGGTCTGGCTGCCCGGAAAAAGGCATCAACTTCATCCGTCAAGATGTCGACACTCGGGCGAAGCCCGTGAAAGGAAATCACGGTTGAGATGATCACACTGTTGTTGATGACATCATTGCGATTCAAAAAATCATTCGGCGTCAAAGCCAAATGACCGGTTGCACCGCGGTTTGCCAACACCGGATTTTTTAACCACTTGTGAGCAGCCGGGGACGCCATCCCTAACTACCTAGCTACAGCCAGCTTAACAGCAAACTGAGACCTAGAAAACAGCAGCATCGAAGAGGTATGCATCCACACATATATGAGCACATATTGCAGAGCGATTCACACATGCAGAGGGACGGTAGCACCTGAACGTCACTTGCCATTCGGAGCACGTACCTGCTGGCTGAGGTCTGGCTGATCATCTTCATCGTCTCCGTGCAGATCTACATACATGCACACACAGGGCGCACGTGTGCCGGTTCAGCAGGTTCACAGGGCAGGTTGGATATCTTAAGCCCAAATCGAGCTGCACCAACACCATATGTACAAAAACGCACGTAATCATAATAAGTGCTCGCGAGAACACATATAAGTGCTACGAATTTGAAGTTTCCATGACGATCCAGATTAGTGCTACGAAACTTGGGGGTGGCAGGAATTTCTGTTACGTTTGATTCCCCAGGATCTAGTGACTTTAGGCAGTGCACGGCGCTTGATTTTAGGAAACAGTCGCATGTTGGCATGTCGCTTGATTTTAGGAAACAGTCGCATGTTGGCATGGCTCTTGATTTTAGGAAACAGTCGCATGTTGGCATGGTGCTTTGCATGTTTTGGGCATGTTTTTCCATGATTTTGCGATTGCTCAAGCGGGCTTTTACCCTTACGGTTTTTGCAGAACGACTCGGCATACGCCTCTTTTTCCTGCTATGGGAAACTATCTGGGCGGATCAAAGCAAGAATGCGAGCACCGGTGCGAGGTGTGCGGAAAGCAGGTTTGCATCAGACGCAAACCTGCACACACCCATCATTATTGTTGGGCCTGCATTCAACACTGGTCTGGGTTGCAATGGCTACGTGCCCACGACGAAGTTCCAGATTCGAGCTATGCTGAGAGCGATGCCGATGGCGGTTGGGTCTTGCTTGATGGAAAGTACAGAAGACCGACCCTGCAGCCACAAGAGGGTAGAAAAAGGGTTGCGAAAGCAGTTGCCGGAGCTTAGGAAGCAGCGGCGTGAGCCTAGGAAGCAACTGCGTGAGCCTAGGAAACAGCTGCGTGAACCTAGGAAACAGTGGCATGTTGGCATGTTTGGCTTGATTTTGCAAACGCTGATGTTGCCGAATGTTTGCGCTAGCACTGCGCACGTTCCATCTGCAGCCGTTTTTCTCTTTGGTGAAGAGAGGTCTCCCTTTGGAGATCATAATGGACGGTGCCAGCGGGGACGAGTTTACCCCGAGTGTTGCTTTGAGCAGTCCAGGCTCTCCTGGGAAACCGCCTACTCCACCGGCTTTGGAGAGCCCCTCTTTCGAACTACCGGGGGTCGAGCCGCCGGGTGGGGGACCATCGTCGCCGGTGGCTGTCTACCCGTCGCCAGTGGTGACGGAAGCAGCGGAGAGCCCGTTGCTGGCGGATTCTGCAGATGGCCCTTCGCAGGCAGATGTGGCTGGAAGCCCTGTGGAGGAGAATACTGCGAGGAGTCCGCCGAAGGCGGATATTGCAGAGAGCCCTTTGTTCTCAGAGAGCGAAGGGGAGGAGAGTTGGGGCCACCAATGGCCGAATCCCTCGAAGCGCCTGCGCGCTGGGGTTCCTTCAGAGGTCGAGGGGCCTACGCCACCTCGGGTTGGAATCCCGGCGAACATCTCGCCGGGTTCGCTGAGCCCTCCGTTTGGTGCGCTTCAGATGGATGTGGGAACCCAACTCCTCCTGAGAGCGTTGAGGCTGGAGGCTGGCCGCAGATGGGAGCATGCGGAAACACTAGGCCTTGCAAAGGTCTCGGTCGACTCTACCGAGCCTATTCCGTTGCTCTCGCACTTGGCGGGGATTCCAGCGAACATGAACGATGCCTACGATGCCCCATCCCTGGCGTTCTGTGCTCCAGGCCACGCCTTGAGAGCACTTTGCTCTCCGACAGCGACGATGCTCGGTCCGATAGGCCTGCCCGACCTAGAGCATCCAGCTGCTTGGCTACCAGCCACTCCAGTGATTCCGGTGACAGCGGCCTATCCAGAGGAACCATTGAGGGTTTCGAGGCCGAAGATGGTGGAATCGGAAGCCCAATGTATCATTGGGCAGCAGGAATGGGAGGTTTGGTTGGGACGTCGCCTAGAGGGCAAGAGCCTAGCAGAGTACGGGCTGCATATGGAGGACGTGGTGTTCGCAGTCAGGGTTACCGAACTTCTGGAGGCTCCACGGGCCGCTCGGGCGGCGTGGAAACGAAGGTTCCAGGAACCCAACCCTGTATCTATGTTACACTATCTCTTCCATTGTCGAGCTGTATTGCAAACCTATCTGGCTACGCCTGCTGGATACAGGGGACTGGTGGGAGCGCGTTCGAGTCTGCTCGTAAAGGTGCCCCAGTCGGTCACCTCGCTCGAGCTCAAAACGGCTTGGGCATACCTAGACTCGGGCATATACCTCCGTGTTGCCCGGTATTACAGGCGAAAACGGGAGGAGGAGCGCCTCCACGAGGCCCGGGAATCCATGCGAGCGGCAAGGGCCAAATCGGCAGCGATGCCTCAGGGCTCAACGATGGAGGGTGGTGTTGTGGACACCTCCTCTTCGAGCTCCGACGAGGAATCTTTGCTCCTTGGATAAGGAGAAGTTACGGCGCTGAACAGGGCCCAGGGCCAAGAAGATTTATCAGACATCGCGATATGGCGAACGTTGGAAGAACTTACAGGCCAGAGGCTGTCCCAATTGGATGGCTTTGTTGGGGCCGACGAGGGAAATCAGCCCGCAGAGGCGGGACAGCCGGCACCGCCGAGCCCGGCTCCGTCCTCGGTGCCACCAGGAGAACTGGTTGCTACTGCATTCAACCTCCCGAGGGTTTCGGCACCCATGCTTCCGGAGGGGATGCAAAGAGAGGACTATCAAAGGCACGGTGTGAACATCCCTCCGTCTGTTCCACCACGATCTCGTCTACCAACGCCTCCGAGAGCTCTGAGTGCTTCTGCCACAGGACAGACTGCCCAGGAACGGGCATTTGTGCTCAGCCCGCCATCTTTCAGCCACAGTCAAGTGACTGCGCAGGCGAGGCAGATCCTAGAAGAGGGCCAACGGCTCTTGGAGTGACTCTGCGGCGATCCGCACCGAGGGGTTGGAGTTCAAAAGTTTTTTCTTGCGAGCACGCTTTGCAACAGCACGCTTTGCAGCAGCACACTTTGCAGCATCACGTTTTGCAGCAGCATGTTGTGTGGCATGAGCGTTGGCATGGTTTGTGGCATGTTGCGTTTGCTCGAAAACCAACCCAACGTACCTCGAACCCTCCTACCGGAAGAACCCGCACCTTTAAAACCACGGCCGCTTTCAGGAATGGTTTCACGCCAGGACTGGATCTTGGTATCATCGTGCTTCTCCTGACGGTCTACAGCCTCTTCTGTGGTATAGCTTTGTGGGTTTCTTCAGGGTTACTTCGGTGTTTCAGGAAAGTGGTTTCGCGAAAGAGGCCACGAAAGTTCTATAGGGTGTTTTCTAGAAAACGCGGAAGCTACTTTAGGATTAAGCTGCGGGACCGTTGGGCCCGCGTCGAAGTGAGTAGGAAACTTCTTTTGAGTCGTGAGGTGAAAGGTTTTGGGCAGCGCGTTTGTGAGCATGTCTGTGAAAACTTAAAGTGCGCATGTTGCGGCATGTTTGGCATGCTTTGTGCCGGAGATGATGAACCGGCCCCGGCAAAGAAGACGGAACAAGTTGAGCACGTGCTTCGAGCCGTGCGCTTTAGAGGTTTACCGTCGCCGGGGACCGGTACACGTTCTGATCCGTTTGACTTAGACCCCGAACCTTCCTCAAGACCTGCTCCCGCAACTTCCTCAAAACCTGAAGCTTCTAGTCGTAATCCTTTAGATCCTGAAGGAATCTTTGATGAGGACCCTGAACCATTAGGATCTGCCCCTGGCTCTTCCAAGAAACCTCGAAAAGAAAAGGGTCCAACACCACCTGACGACCCGGTTGGACCTGAGGACGAGGAGGACCTGAGGGTTCCTCTTTCTTCTGTTTCGTTGTATAATCATCGGAGCCGAGGGCATTTTCCGTTTGATGCCAATTGTGAAGCGTGTTGTTCTTCGAAAGGGCGCGTTCCGGCGCGTCGCTCTGCAGAGAGAGAACCAGACCATCGGTCTTGATTTCTTCTATTTCGGAAAACTGAGGGTACTCTTGATGATGCACCTCGGTTCTAAGTATACTGTCTCTCTTCCTGCGATGCACCTCGATGACCCTGACCTGCTCCACAACATCAACCGTGTGATTCGCGAAATGGGATTAGTCGGTAAAGCGGTTACATTTCGGATGGACCAAGAAGCGGCTCTTGGAGCCCTTGCCGAGAAACTCACCAAGTGCGATAGCAGCCCTGCCAGCGCAACATTGATTGACGTGGTTCCGGGGTATCGGCCCCAGTCGAAAGGATCGATTGAGAGGCAGGTTGAAACTATGAAGCAGGGTTTCTGGTCTGTTTGGATGGACCTGGAGAAAGAGGTTGCTAAGGTGAAGCAGGAAACGGAAGCCGTTGAGCTTGGGAAGTATCAGTTACCTTTGGGAGGTTTGCTTTGGCAAGCCTGTGTTTTCTATGTTGCTAGGTGCTATAACCTCTGGTGTACTAGCGTCGGGGATTCGAGCACTAGCATAGATCGACTGCATGAGGAGATTGTGAACCGAACTCGGACGAGACCGTTCGGGTGTCTGGTTCAAGCTCAGGTCAGTAAGTCCAAGGCGCACCATGATAAGTTCAGGGGCGCCCGGACCGTGAAAGCGGTTTATCTGGGACCGGTGCACGCCAAAGGTGGCGGCATCTTTGCCGTCCCTGTCGGAAGCAGGGAAATAGATATATTCCCCGTCGCCAGAATGATTCAGGGAGGTGACATCTACGATGCCAAGACCCTGGAAGAGCTATCTTTAGCTAAGCCTCTTCTGCAGGACACTGAGGACCCCGAGAGGCCCATACTGTTTGATCCGTTGGAGGCTCCTGGTGATGATGCTCCTGATGAGGGGGCTGGTGTGGGAATGGATGAAGATGGTGATGAAGAGATGATTGAAGATGAGCTTGCTGACTATTCTCCGTCGGAAGCGCCTGAGAACCAGGAGGTTGTGAACGATGAGGGGGATATGGAAATAGACTGGCTCACGAATCACTATCTTGAGTCCCTGTTTCGAGGGCCTGACCTGCGAGCCACCTCCACTGCAGTTGCAAAGTCGTTTGATTTGAAGTTTGGGGGTACGAAGATAAGGTGTGCTGTTCCCCAGAACGCTGTGTCTGAGACTTCGGGAGAGAAGCTAGAACCCGATCTCCTTTACGCATCAATGAAGCTTGAGTTGGAAGAGTTGGAATCCTTCAAGGTTGGGGAAGTGATCCCTGAGCGCGAAGCTCGCCGTCTTGCTAAGGAAAACGGCAGGCGAGTTTTGACTAGCAGGTGGGTCAACACGGTCAAGAAGAAGGGACTGTATAGATCTAGGCTAGTCGTGCGGGATTATGCCTCTATGGGAGGCACCACCTTGAGTGAGGGAATCTACTCTCCTACTACTTCATTGGAGGGTCTGAGATTGCTTCTGTCAATGCTCTGCCGACGTGGCAGTGTGTTGTCCTGCGATGTCTCGGTAGCGTTCATGCATGCTCCCGTAGCGAGGGCAGAATTCGTAGAGTTGCCGAATAATGTGAGCACCCAGGGGACTGGGGAACGAGTTTTCGTCAAATTGCGTAAAGCGATGAACGGATTGCGCTCTGCTCCATTATCTTGGTATTGCGAGTTGGCTGAATACTTGCGCTCTCAGAACTTCGAAGCAAGTTTGGACCCCACTATATTCCGTCGTCTAACGAGGAAGGGTTTGACGATTGTGTTGTTTTATGTGGATGACTTGCTGATCTATAGTGAAGATGAAGCTGAGGGGCGCCGGTTCTATGAGGAGTTGCGTAAGAGATACAAACTGAAACTTACGGGCGAGTTGATTCAAGATTGCCCCGGGGAAGTCTCGTTTCTCGGTCGGCGGATCTTTCGCCGTAAGAAAGGGGAACGTACGGTGTATTTCGGGCTAGACGAACAGTACCTGAGTTCCTGTTGCGAGGAGTACGGAATCACCAAACCTGCCCCAAAGCTCCCTTCCCTTGAACGCCGCTATGCTGAGTTGCTGAAGAAAGGCCAGACTGAGCTGATCAGTCCAGCTGCTCACGAAAGGTACAGAAGAACTCTGGGCCGTTTGGCCTGGGCGGCTCTGTCACGACCAGACCTGCAGTTTGTGTGTGGGTTTCTGGGCCGCCACCAAGCAGCTCCTGACGAGGCTGCCGAGACCTGTATGAGGGATGTCCTTCGTTGGGTCAAGGGTCTTCCGCACAAGGTCCAGAGGTTTCCGAGCAAGAGGGAGATCTTGGAAGATGATGCGGACCCTGCCTCTGTATCTTGTTTTACGGACGCGAGCTGGAGTCTGAATTCGGTAAGCGGCGGGATCATCACGTGGGAGAACTGTTCCCTGAAAAGCTTCAGCCGGAAACAAACGACTACCGCACTCTCAAGTGCGGAAGCAGAACTCGCTGCACTCACAGAGGTTGCTCGTGAAGGGTTGTACATTGCTTTGCTTGTGGAGACCATCCGCGAGGGTATGCCGAAAGACAGGGAAACCGGTTATTATGTTCTTAAGGGATATTCTGATTCCGAATCGGCGGTTTGTATATCGAAGATGCAGACCCTCCTGAGGAAAGTGAGGCACATCGAACTTCGTGCCGCATTCCTTCAGGAGCTGGTGGCCAGGGGTCGTTTTACCATAGAACACATACCGGGAGTGATAAACCCTGCGGACGCCCTCACGAAGAGCCCCACCAACGAAAGTTTGTCTAGCTTGTACGATGCCTCTGGCCTTGTAGATGAACCGAAGGCCTGGGAGAGTGAGCCTACTGAGGTGCACGTGTCTTTTGAAGAGCCCAATGAAAACGAACGTTTTACTCCGTCTGTTCCGCCTTCCTGGAAAGCCGCTGCTTTGAAGCTAGCTCGTGGTGAAGCTAAGTACGTAGTGGTTGAACTGTGTTGTGAAGAAGGAAGTGCGTTGTCCAAAGCCTGCTCGAAGGTCCCCGAGATCGCCTACTTTGGGGTGACTAAGGAAGTTGATCTTCTGAGCTATAATGGCTTGTGTCTTCTGAGAGAGGTTTTCGGAGTCGTAGCTGAGGGTGAGGTTAAGGTATACGCTCACTTGTCTACTCCGTGCTCTGCTGGGTGTGGTTTAAGGCACCTGAGGTTTAAGAAGGGAGGAAAGGCCCTGGAGAAGTGGAGAGCGGCTCTGGCCGTTCACAAGAGGTCCTGGAAAAGGATCGAGAAGCTGTTGGAGCCTTACGTGGGCTCCCCGAACCTTCTGCTTTCTCACGAGTGGCCTGAGAGGTCAGGACTGTGGGATGAGACTGTGTTTAAGAGGGTTTCTAAGAAGCTTCGTTTGGATCAGGGTTGCCTTGTGGATCGTTGTTGCTTTGAAAAGGGTGACCAACGACCTTGGAAAAGATGGTGGTTTGTGTCTAACCGCACAGAGTTTGTGTGGGGACTTTCGTCTCAGTGCTCTGAGGGACACGGTCACTACTACCTTCCTCTTCCTGAGTCAGGTGTGTATCCAGAGGGTTTAGGATTCGCTCTCCTGAAGAACGCGAAGAAGACTTTTGAGGAGAAGTGAAGAGGACTCTCGGGCATGAGGGGGTGTGAAAAGTTTGCTCCTGGCTCAAGGCTGTGAGTGCTCAAACCTGCAGTGCCGTCGTGGCCGCCCAGCCTCGAGTCCGTAGCTAGTGCTTGGCTCCGTAACAGGCTCAAACCCAACCATTGCTTTTCCTGCCCCTGTGGGCTCGGCGCTTGGGAGGGGTAGTGGCAGTTCCGACCGACGGTCGAGGGCAGTAGTTTAGCGCAATAGCACATCCTTGCCGTCCTTGCACTACTCCTGTTGTACACTTCACCAGGTTCTTGGTCGCTGGAAGCTTTGCTTGGACGAAGACAGTTGTCGAGGTGCCCTGACCTTGCCTTCGTGCTGCACCTTCGGCTCCTCGCCTTTGTGGCTGAGGCACTAGTCCGCTTTTCCTCCCGTCACTGAGGTGGACGGTGTCTTAAGGGTGCGGTTCTTTGAGCTGGTTGACCTGGCCTTCTCCTGCCCCAGACGCAGGACCCCTTTGTGGATCTGACCGTGGAGAGCGGCGGATTTGCCTTTGCAGGCTGTGCCAGGAGCACCAGTGTTCTTAGGGCAACCACTTTTTAGTCGCAAGCGTCCCTCGAGGTGCTACAGGCTTTCCTTCGGGTTCCCTCGGGACGAGACAGTGGTTCCTCCCAGTCTCCTGCAGTACCATACTGCAAGCCCCTTCCCTCCCTCGCCTACTGGGTTGAGGTGGCATTGTGCTGCCTCCCGCCGTTGGGGTTTAGGATAGGTTAGGGAGGATTCTTTCTTGCTTGGCGCCTCCGTGCCGCCGGGCTCCCACTCAGCTTTTCTGGCCTGTGATGCAGTGTCGTCTCTCCCCTGGCGCAACTCTCGCAGCTTTTGCGACACTTCGCCTATACTGCTGGCCTGGAGCTGTTTTGGCTTTTGTTGCTTTAGGCAAAATTTGCTCGCTTTTGCCTGTTTTGCGGAGAAGGTCCCGCTGCAATTCAAGGGGTTCCTTTGTTTTTCACTTCGTTTGGTGCCAGTCGTGCGTCGCGTGTTATGGCCTTCACATGAGCATGGGCGCCAAGGCCAGGACCCTCACTCAGCCTGCTTTTGCCCGGCGGGATTCGGGTGCGAGCTCTGTATACCCCGCCGCACAAGGTTTTATCCTTGCACGCCTGAGTTTGGTGTTGGCAGTCATACTGTTCTCCGTGGGCTGAGCAGTCCCTGGCTTTCCTCCCTGCAGCACCTTTGGCTTCCTGGCCCCGTTCTTTTTGTTTACCTGCCTTGGGTTTTGGGTTGCAGGCCCTGTTCCTCCCTCCTGGGTTTCTCAGGGGCAGGTCTCTTTTCTGCCCGTCCTCTTCCATTGCGGCTGAGTGGCACAGCGTTGTTCCCTGCGCTTGAGAATTGAAGGGAAAGCGTCGTTCCCTGCGCCTCGTTGAGGGGAATGCGTGGGCCCCGCGCTTAAGTCCAAATTGAGGGGCTGCAGCTCTGTTGCTGTGGCTGCAGATGGGCAGTTGGCAGCTCGTCTCGGCTTGCTTGCGCTTGCAGATGAGCCTTCAGGTTTGGTTGTTTTCTTTAGGCCCTTTTGACCCGTCCGTTTCCTCCCTCGGGCCAAGGGAGTCGCGCACCTTCGGTCTCTTTTCGGCCAGCAATGCCCACTCAACCTGCCTGTGTACTTGGTGGACCGTGGTGTTGTGCAGGCCAGTGGCAGTGTAGCTGAGGTTGCCCCTGTCCTTCGCCCCTGGGCCCAGCCCTCCTCGCTTCTGGCTAAGGTTCACCTCGTACTTTCTCTTCTCCCCGCCGTTCTCTTTCCTAAGGGCGTTTGGGTGCGATTGGTGGGGTTTAGGATACTCTTTACGAGCCCCTGGAGGTTCCTCTCCAGCCGCTCCCTCAGGGTCCCCTCTCTTGAGGTTGGCTTCGCCCAGGCTAAGGGCAGCTGCTCTGGCTCCTCACCTCTGGGTTGAGGCTCCTCACCGTCCTGGTTGAGGTTCGTCACTTTCTGAGGCTTTCGAGCCGGGGCACAAAGTTTTCACCCCTCTGAGGCTACAGAAGCCAGGACCCCGTTTTTACCCTGGGACTTGCCGAAGGCATCCCAAAGGTGGTACTGAAACCCTGTACAAAGGTAGGGCCTCCGCCCCTCGCCTTACTGGCCGAGGTTGCCGTAGCCCTTCACCCAATAGGGGTCTGAGGCACCCTTCTGCATGGAATTCACGTGTTGAGACCTCGTCTACGACGGCCTCCGCGCTCGGCGAAAGAAAAGTTTGCTCCGACAGCCCGCATCTCGCGGTGCCGCCCTCGCCCCTGGTGGCTGAGGTTCCCCAACGAGTGGTGGCACCTGAGCCCTCCCCAGCAACCTCCTCGCCTCCGGCTGAGGTTTCCCTCCCCTGTGCTGCTTCCCTGGCCACACGTGGGTCTTCCCCGCTTGCGGAGCCTACCGGTCCTCCGATGAGCTTTCACCCCCGTAACCGTGGGCCTCCCGCACCGGTGGAGCACTCAGTCACTGCAGGAGTTGCTTCCTCAGCCCCGGCCGGCTCTCGGCCCGCTCCCCCTGCTGAGGCCCGACCTCCGGCAGGTCCTAAGAGCCTTTCCTCGCCTTCGGCTGAGGTCGCTTCCCCATCCCCGGCCCCTCGGCAGCCGGACGTGGGTCCAGCCTCCTCGGCCCTAGCAAAGGCTCCACTCCCGGGCCCCCCTGAACAGGGCACCCCTGCCTCCAACGCCATCGGCTCTTCGGAGACCTCTGGGGTCAAGCCCTCGTCTTTGGCTGAGGCTGCAGCCTCTGCTTCAGTGGGCCACGAGCCACAGGCTACTTCCCGGCCCCTCTCAGGCCTCCCTGGCACTTCGTCAAGGACGAGTGAGCCTGCCCTTTCCACACCCCGTGGCCCGGGTAAAGGGGCCACAATCGCCACCGCTGCTTCGGCAGCTGCAACTCGCTTCCCGAACCCCTCAGGGGTCTCGGGCGACGAAGCTACGGACTCTCCAAGCCCTTCTCCTCGCCGGCCGGCTAGAGGTCCGGCTCCAGCTGAGGCACGTGAGGAGCCGGCCCACGTGCAGGTCTTCAGCGAGAACTTCCTCCGCTGTTTTGCATGCGGCGTCACAACTTCCAATCAACAACTGATGGAAGCCCATGCAATGACCTCCAGGCACGTCCGCCTCACTACGGCCTATGTGGCCAAACGAAGGCGTGAGCTGGCAGCGGCAAAGGCTGCCCAGCCTACTGTGCCGTAGGCTCCGTGCTTCGGCACTCGTCTCCCCAGGCACACCTCTGGCTCCTTCCTCGCCTTTTGGCTGAGGTTCGACCCTCAGCGGTGCTTGGGATTGCCCTGGGCATCCCTCAGTTCTTCCTCGCCTGTTCGGCTGAGGTTGCTCCTGAGGCAGCTGCCCGGGCCCCGGTAGAACCTCGCCTGTACAGTCTTTGGTAGGGCCTACCCCTCGTCTGAAAACGACTGAGGTTGGCGGGTGTAACTAGCCACCTGTAGTCCAGGACGTAGGGCCGCCCTTGCCCAAAGTGGCTGAGGTTCTCCTCACTTGCATGTGAATTCATCTTTCGGACTCGTCTACGACGGCTTGCAGCCCGGCGCAGAAAAGTTTGCTCCTGGCTCAAGGTCTGGCTCAAGTGACCGCAGCGGTCGGAGAAGTAGTTGTCTGCAACAAGTCCTGGGCTCTAACTGCGTGCTGAAGAGACCCCAAACAGGTGAATCCCAGGCTTTGTAGCTGTGCTTCTTCGAGCCATCACTTCCAACTTGCCAGTTCCCACCGGTAAGGGTTCAGCCCTCGGGGGAACAATCCACCGCACCAAGGGGGTACGTCCCCCTGTGGCGGTGGTAGCGCAAGGCCAGACGCGGACCCACCCTACAAGGGGGGAGACAGTGGTTCTCAAGCTTAGGGGGGCCTCCTTTCTGCCTCCCAGACCAAAACCACGGCTTGTCGGGGGTTCGCCTCCGGTGCAAGGAGCTGGCACCCTGGCCCAGGCAAAGCCGGCGAGAGCGGTCTGGAGCGAGTGGCAGTTTTCAGTGGGGGCTCACCTCCAGGCAAGCTTGAGCAAGCACCTTCAGGTGCCCTAAACTCACTGCAAGTTCAAAATCCACGGCACGAGTCGTTTGCCACTGCTTGCGTGCAGCCATACATGCTTGGCATTCCTGGGATCATGCCTTCCACGAGAAGGAGAACAGATGGAGGCATGGTTTCGCCGCGTCGCTACCAGAAGGTTTAGGATTGCATGCACGCGTGGTGCTGGCAAGTATTTTGGCAGACGTGGGACCCACCTTGTGGTGGAGGCCTTTCCAGGTGGACCCTGTGGGGATTTTGAGATGGTTTAGGAGTGTTTTGAAGCGGCGATGGGGCAGGAGCGTACCGCTATTTTCAGAGCTTACATGCTGGACATGCAGGAACATTCACCTCTTGGCCTCTGGGGTGAGTTTCCTGTGAGCTCTGGTCCTCCAATTGAGGGTTATGCAGTTACGCCCTCATATGGGAGACCAACCCTGTTCTTTTCACAGGTTTTATGGATGTAAGCGGGAGCTGCTGCGGGCTCTTGCTGCCCTTTGCGTGGCGTCTGGCAGTGCCAAGCAGTGGGGTTTTATCCTTTTTGTCGTTGTGCCAGTTCCCACCGGTAAGGGTTCAGCCCTCGGGGGACCTGTCCACCGCTACAAGGGGGTCCTGAGCAGGGCCTCCTTCTGTGGTTTCTGGGCAGCAGGCACCCAGGAATGTCCAGACCTGGGGTTCTGCTCGTGCTGCAGGCCCAAGCAACAGTGGCTGTGGTTCTTGGCTGGTGCGGCGTGGTCCCCGCGCATAGTTGAGGGGAGCGTCGACGCCTGCGCTGGATGAGGGGTGCGTTTGCCCTCGCGCTCAAATTGAGAGGGCTTAGCGCCGGCCCTGACTCGCAGTCGCTTTTGGTTGAGATCTTGCAGCCTCCCAGGGTCATCGGCCCCAGTGCGCCGGGGGCCCAGGGCCCAACCGCAGTGCAGAGGCAGTGCTCGCTTCACTGTCTCAGCATAGACCCTTTTGTTTTCAGTCCTGGGCGGTTTTGCCACGTGTGGCCTACAAGACAACGGAATAGGGCTGACCAGCCAGTAGGGGGCTTGACCCGCCTAACGGAAGGCCAGTTGAAGGCTATTCCGGACCTTAATGCCTCCTTATACCACCTGCTGGGTGGGAGTGAGGGGGCTTTGGCCTCACAGGCTTCTGCCAGGCCTTGGCCTTTCTTGTGGCCAGGGTGAATTGGTGCCTTCCTCCGAGCTGGAGGTTCGTACGGCAGCAGGGGGCCTTGTGGTCACTCTGCTGCCTGTGCTTTGATGCAAGGCAGTTGTACAATCCACTGCCTTTTCATAGGGTGGACCTTGGTTGGTGGAGGTAGCCGAGTGCCCAGAGCTGCTGCGGCATGGGTGCTCTGGCCCTTGTTAGTAAGAGCGAGAACGCAAGGGCCACCTCACTTACAGGGTTTGGGGCGTCGTTCCCAGCGCTGGCACGCAGTTGAGTTGATGGGAAAGCGTCTTTCCCTGCGCCCATAATTGAGGGGAATGCGTGGTCCCCGCGCTAAAGATACCGAATTGAGGGGAAAAACCCTGTTTCGCCACCCAACGTCCTTCTCGCAAAAGGTGAGATGAAGGCCCTCCGCTCCAAGGCCTTGGGGGGATTCTCCTCCCTACTGAGGCTGAGGGGCTGAGTAGCAGCACAGTGAGGCCTAGCCGCTGCTTTGCAGCTCCAAAGGGAGGAATAGGGGGTTTACCTCCTGAGACCTTCCTAGTGACGGCGTAGGTCCTGTAGCTAGCAAAGCCTGGTTTTCTTTTCTCACCTCCTTTCCCCTGCGGAGTTTTGAGTTTAGCACCTGCCTGGAAAGCGACCGGGTATACAGTGCCAGTAGGCAAGCACGCCTAGTCAACACGACTGTGGGTGTAAGCTGTAGGTGTCAAGGCTTTTTCCTCCCAGGCTTGGCTCGGGGAAGCCTCTTCTGCTGTCAGAGCACAGCCCAGACCGAACTTGCCGTTTCGGCGGCCGCGACTCAGTGCGCAAGACCGAGAGAAAAGTTTGCTCCTTTTAGGTGTGCCCTTGAGTACCGACATGCTTGTTTTGCGCATGAGAAAGGGTTTCATCCTTTTTGCCTTGAACTGTTGTTTTGGAAGCTTGAACAGGCATTTGCATGGCGAACACATGTTTTAGCATGTTTGCACTTGTCTTGAAGACCGGGATGAGCGCTTACAGCACTAGAGATGCTTTTTGGGCATCCTTGAAGAAGTGCGTGTTGCTCTGACTACACTGTTGCTGTTTTCCGCCGACCCTCGCTTCGCTCGTGCCGGTGGGAACAGGCCAAGGGACAGAGTGGCTGTGCACTGCTGTTTGAGTGAGTACAGAAGTCCTGAGAAGTGTTAGGACAGTTGCATGTCATTCCTCCTTTGTTTAGCAAAGTTGAGACGGAATTTGCTGCGCGAGACTCCGCAAGAGACCTTGCTGAACACTTCGGTGTTTGGCTCAAGCGTGGAGTGAAAAGAGACTTGCTCTGCGTTTTTCACAAAACATCCTCTGTTGGAACCAGCGCTGCTGCTTCGAAGCACTCGGTCTGGACATTGCCTTCACAGCGCTCGTGCAGTCACAAGTCGGTCTGGACAAAGGCCCAGGTCACCATCAGCTCGGGCAAAGGATCAGTTTGGACAGAACCCGGATCCCCTGCTGATCAAGGCAGGAATGAGGATGTGTCCGTGCTCCCCGCCTCTGAGGCGACGGCGGTTGCAAGCCACGATCAGCATGATGGAGAACTCTTCACCGGCCCCCAACCACCAACTGACCGCCAAATTAGGTACTGGGGCCGTGCGGGGCTGTGTCTCGATCGTAAGACTGCTGTTGTCTGTCCTTTGTGCCCCTTTAGGGCCACCGCAAAAAATGCCATTGCCCGCCAGACCATGCTTTATAGCCATTACAAAGCCCATCACCCCGGTCAGGTACCTTCAGGCGTGTTGCATGGTCGGCGGCAGCCTTCTTTGATTCGTGCAGGCCGAGGCCAGGCGCTTCACTGGAAGTGCCCGATTTGCAATTTCGGGATTGCCGCGCAGGATGCTTTTTCAAAAAGTGCAGACGCTGTCACTGCTGACAAGCGGGCCCACTGCACACAAGCACATCCTGATACTTCCTGGAAAAAGTTCAAAGCCCTCGACCGTGCCAGCACCATTGAGAAGGCGGCCGTCACACGACGGGGTCGCGAGTGCATCAAGCGCCTTAGCAAAGCCAAAGGCACTGACCTTGAGGGTTTTAGGCTGTTTTCCAAAACCTTTAAGGCTCAGGGTGGTCTTGCGGCATCTTTTGGATGGATGTGTCTGAACTGCTGCGGTCCCTTTCGCACCTCTGGGGATGCCCTTTCCCACGCCAAAAGGGGACTGTGTAACAAGGAGACCGCCCAAAAGAAAGCCAAGCGCCGTGTCAAGGCCATTGACGTGCTTGCCAAGGCTCATGACAAAAACACGCCCCCCGGAGGGAAGAAGCAGCGTGAGAGCAAATTGCTCCAACAGGCCCGAGATATTTTCAACTTGCCGTTTTCGTCCGACTAGCCACTGTAAACATTGCTGGCAAGGGTGTGTCGTCTGTTGATGCCATTTGCAATTTCCTTACGGCAAACGACGTGCACATCTGCACCATTGCCGAGGCTGACATCAATGTTGCATCGGCCCCGGGTTTCCTTCGTGCCTGGAAGGCCCACGGTTTTTCAGCCACTTTATCTGTTCCCGAGAACTCCGGTATGAGCCGAGTCGCCCTGGTCAGCTCTTTGCCATTTCGACCGTTCAGACTTGCAGAGGGTTTGGGAAACACCAGGTGCGCGGCAGGCATTTTTGAATTTCAGGGAGCACCATAACATGAGCAGATTGCCTTCGTGTCTGTCTACGGACAGTCAGGACACCAGGCCGCCGCGTCCGCCCAAATTTCGGACATCCTGGCGGCTTGCACTGCGGGCCAAGGACCCTTCGTGGTCGCGGGCGATATGAATCTCGAACCCGCCGAGGCCCTCCTGGGCGAAGCCCTTGCGGCAGGGGCCATTAGGTCTTTAGACGACGCGGCGCAGGGCGCCGCCCTACCGCCCACGGGGCCAGGTCGCAGGCGCCGCATAGATCACGGGGTTTGCCACTGGTCGTTGGCGGCTAGTGGCGTCTGGCACTTGGAGCCGTCGTTCTCAGATCACCTGTCGGTGGTCTATGAGCTCCCTCTTGACACCCCCCAGTTTATGACTATTCCAACCAGGAGCAAAGTTTGCGACGTCTCTTCTGACGACCTAGAGCAGTGGCTCGGTGAGGCTGATTTTGTTCCATTCTGGTCTGCATTAGCCAAGGGGGATGTCGATACAAGTTGGCAAGTGCTCTCCAATGTGGCCGAGCAGTGCTTATGTTCTTCACGCTCTGGCGATTGCCCCAGAAGTCAGCCTTGGTCGCCAACTGCTGCGAAGGTGAACAGCTGTAACAGGGTCGAGGGATCTGCCTCGATGCGTGTTCTTCTCAAGTTACAGCGGCAGCTTTTGGAACTCGCCAGGAAGCCAGACCCGGCTTTGTGCCGCAAAATCCTTAAATCCCTACCCCGTGCTCGTGCCATCGTGCCTGACCTACCTTGGGTTCTTGATTGTAATCTTGAAACACTCCAGGGGCCGGTCGAGGAGTTGCTTGGGGTTTACCAGGAACAGGAAACTGCTGCAGCCCGGTCTCGCTGGAAAGAGCTGCTGAGGGAGAACACTGCCAGGCAACGGGCCTTCGTCAAGACCAGAGCGGATGCTCAGCTCGAATACGAGAAACGTTGTCCCAACCAAGCCGAGGCACAGGCTGCGGGACCGGTTCACCCATCCAGTGTAGTCCGAGCACAGGCCCAAGTTTGGCTTAGCAAATGGGAGTCCGAACCCGAACCCCACCTTGATGCCATCGCGAAGGTCCTTCAAAAGGTACCGGCTGTCGAGCCCCAACTTGTTGAGGTTCAGTTTGACCCGGACGCACTCAGGGCCATCGCTGCTTCCTTTTCGAATAAAGCCGCAGGGCCAGACAGCTGGCAAGCAAAGGACCTTGCACGGTTGCCCACTAGGTGGTGGCATGCAGCCGCACAGCTATGGCAACACGTGTGGGAACGGGGTCAAGTGCCAAAGCTTTGGAGGTTCGCCAAGGTTTCCTTGATCCTTAAGCGCGGCGGGCCAAAAACTCGACCGATTACCCTGACTCAGGTGATTTGGCGTGTTGGGTCCAAACACATTGCGCGAGCTCTTCGTCCTTGGACCCTCAAATGGGCTTCTTCCAGCGACCACGGTGGCCTTCCGGCCTTCCGGGCCGCTCTACTTCTGATGTTTTGTTCCAGCTCCAGGCTGCCATTCAGCGGGGTGTCAACACCGCTGCTTTGATGGACGTAGCTGGGTACTTTGATTCCCTAAATGTGCCGGCCATGGGCCAGGTCTTCAATAGGTTAGGTGCTCCACCCCAGTTGTTGCCACTCCTTAACTCGTTTTATTCCGATGCCAGGCGGTATTTTAACTTCGAAGGTTCGTATGCCCCTGGGGTTTATCAGGTTTGTTCGGGCTTCGGGCAGGGCTGCCCTCTTTCACCGTTGGCGGCAGCAGCCTTATCCCATTGTTGGAGTGAGTATGTCAAGGCATCGTGTGCAAACATTGGTGCTCAAATTTTCATGGATGACCGCACTCTCTGGGTGGAACCTCAGGGATCCCTCCAGGACCTTGATGCCGCTTTGCATGCAAGTGCTGACTTTGACCAGGCTTTTTCGTTGAAACTAGCGGAGGACAAATGTTTTGTTGCTGCCAAGCATCATACGGAGGCCACTCGCCTTCTTGCTGCCCAGTGGAACTTCTTGACTTGCGGGTCCCTTGAGCTTTTGGGCGTGTCCTTTGATTTTGAGGGATCAGGGGCTATCCCAAAATTTTCACTTCGAAAGGCGGTGCTCAGATTGCGATTGCTTCGGTGGACGCAGGCTGCAACCACTTCCCGCATTATGCTTGTGCGGTCACTTGTCATGCCTTGTTTGGCATGGGCGGCGGGCTTCGCCAGACCGAGTGACACTGATGTCAAAGCCGTGCAGCACGAAGTCCGCTTCCTGTTCAATTCGGGTTATGGGGGTGATGTTGCCACGGTTGCTTTCTACGAGCTTTTAGGTTGGATCCTTGAACCTTCTTTCGCCCTTGACTTAGGCCTGTGCCGACTGTTCTGGCGATGGTTCTCAAAGCCACCCGATTGGCAAGAAGAAATCCCCATTGGCCAACGCCCGGGGAGCTGGCATGTTCGACTTCCAGAGACTGAAAACCTTCTAAACCGCACGGGCTGGTGGTTTTCTCATGATGGCACTACCCTGTGCCGGAGGGATGCTGCTGGAGCCCTTCGCAAGGTTCACATAGGTCTTGAAAGCTTTCGTGTTGTTCAAACTTGGCTTGAGGGGTTTTATCGCCAGCAATACCTTGGCCGTTGCAAGCGAGTGTCGCATCACATGCACCGTGTGCTTGAGGATGATGCAGCCAGAGGTCTCGAGCTTCCGGCTCCACCGAAGGGTTTTCGCATCCAGTTGCAGGGCCACAAAAGGGTTCTAGCTGACAGAACTTCGATCTACAATCGTAGGGCGGCATTTCTTTCAGGTGGCACCACGTGGCATTTTGAGAAAAGCGTAGGGCCTCGCCGAGACCAACAGCATCACAGGTGCCTTTGCGGGGCGCTCCGGCCCAGTCGCGCCCATTTGCTATGGGCATGTCCTTCAACTGCTGACCTCAGGAGCAACATAGCGGCACCCAGGCATAGAGGTGAAGAGCGATTGCTGGCCAAACACATTGCCGAATCTCCGCTTCCACCGCCTGCTGTTGATGAGGCAGGCCTCGTTGATGAAACGGCTGAAGCCATTCTGACTGAAATGGCGACATCCGGTTCCATTGTGCTTGCGACCGACGGTTCCTCAAAGGACGGAGTCGCGGCCCATGCTGTGGTGGTGCACCAGTGCGCAAACGCTTTTGCGGGCGGCAACAGTTGTGAAGATCAGTCATCGTTTCGGGCAGAGTTGAGCGCCATGCTTTTGGCCCTTAAAGCTGTTGTGGTGGCTGCATCGCGAGGAGCCAGAGGGCACATCACACTCGCTGTCGACTGTTCAGCGGCCCTTCAGGCTCGCTTTAGCTGCCCGTCTCTCCCGTTGTTTACCGCACACTTCCAGCAGCTCGCTGCTGAGATACGCGGCTTTGATGTGCAACTTCGCTTCATGTGGATCCCTGCACACAACCGCAAAGCGACCTGGGTCCCTTCCAACTCTCCGTTCTGCGCTGCATTCCTGCGATCCTTGAATGACGCGGCAGACCGTGCTGCCAAGGCATGCGTAGCTAGGCGACTTAAAGGGTCACTCAGGGAAAAATGGGTGGCCGAGGCTGCTCGTGTACAAGCGTGGGAGGAGGCCGCTGTCAGAGCCTCTGCAAAGGCTGCTGAAAGACTCCACTGCTTCCTTGAAAGTCTTCCCCGTGTTGGGACTGACGTTGCTTGTGACGCCAGCTCTCCCCCGGGAGCTGGTGCTTAGTGCTAGGGTTTTGGCCCGGTTTCCCAACCCTCTTGTGTGCCGGCACTGCCGTGCCCTGGCCTGCTGTGGGGCTGCGGTGAGCACTGCTGTGGTGCTTGAAAGCTGGAAACCTCTACGTGACGACTCGCAACGGCTGTGGTGGACTGCTGCGCTGCTTTCTAGCTGCTGTGGCCTGGTCGACTGGTTGGAGCCGCTGCGAGGACTCTTGAGCTCGGACGTCGTCGTGAAACCTGACAGTTTGCTTCGTGTACAGTGTAAACAAGTTTGGGGTCAACACCCTTGCCTTCTTTCAGACTCTGTACATCTGATGTAAGGCAACTTAGTCTCTGGAGCTGCACTTGTGCTTTTGGCTCCTTTACAAGGTCTGTAAGTACCTTAAAGCTTTTCCTGTAAAGTGACCAGTCCGACTAGGATGGGGCTTCGCCTTATCCGAATGTGGCTCTGCTGTACACCCCGAGCCCTTCAGTCGTAGACTTCTGTAGTTTGACACTTTCCTGCTGTGCCTGTACATTTTTGCACATTGGAAAGTTCTTCACCCGAGTGCTAGACCTCGCGACGGACTTCGGCTACCGCGGGGCTTGCATCACGTAGTGTCAACTTGAGCTTTTGGTGTGCAGTTCAATCGCTCTTGTTCTGCTTTGCGACTTCTGACACGTCGTTCGTGCTTGCACGGGCGGCGCGAGAACCCAACAAGCAAAAAAAGAGGCACTTGTGAAGAAAGCTATGACGACCAAGTATCCCTCCATGCTAGTTTTAATGGAGATAGCAGAAGAGCTATCCCAGAAAAACTGTGAGCTACAGCTCCAGTGGATACGGAGAGACATCAACCAGCTAGCGGATGACCTCACCAACGAGGAGTTTAAGGAGTTCGATCCCTCTCAGAGGATAGATCTGAAAGGAGAGGAATTCCAGTGGCGTGTCCTGGGCCGGCTACTCGCGCATGCAGATAGCTTCTACCAGGAGCTAGGCACGCGAAAGCGAGGGACCCCGGATAGGGTGTCCAAGTTTAGCCGTAAGGCCAGAAAGCTAGATCCCTGGTAGCCTGAGTGGCGGTGCGTGGGGATAGATAGCCGAAGGCTATCAGTTATCTCCAGGCAACCTGGGAGAGTTGCCACTCCAGATAAAAGAACGTCCGTGCTAGCTGTGTTGCTTGTTCGTCTGGTCGTCGCTCGGCTAGCTCGCTAGCTATCTACTTTCGTACTACTATCGTCCTGGTGGAGATCCGGGGATGGTGGTGGGATATAGGAGCTAGTGCACGTACCTCGTGACGAGGAACGAGTTACGACTATGTGTGCTAGCTTTCCTACTACTTACGAAGCTATTGAAGGTAGCTTCGCTAGAAACGAAGTTTCGGTCGCTATCGTCTCTCGCAGGATAGTTGTGTCTGACACGCGAAGACAGGATAGCTGTGACTTGGAATGGCGACGAGCTTGTGTGTCCGTGGCCATTCTGGATAAAGTCCCCCATCAGGGGGGGTAATTTTGAAGTACCCACCCTGCCCACCCTGGGGATAGATAGCCGAAGGCTATCAGTTATCTCCAGGCAACCTGGGAGAGTTGCCACTCCAGATAAAAGAACGTCCGTGCTAGCTGTGTTGCTTGTTCGTCTGGTCGTCGCTCGGCTAGCTCGCTAGCTATCTACTTTCGTACTACTATCGTCCTGGTGGAGATCCGGGGATGGTGGTGGGATATAGGAGCTAGTGCACGTGGTGCCGACCATGGGACCGCGGAGACGTTCAATCAAGGCCAGCTTGGGTTCGATGATGATGATGAGGACCTTGAAGAATTGGCTGGCCCAGCTGCCCCAAAGGTCGAAATCAAGAAGGAAGTCGTCAAGCAGGAACCGGGAACTCTCGCAGATCTCCCGGGCGTTCGGCACCCGGATCCGATTGCTCTGCCAGAGACCCCCGTGCCTGGTGAGGCCATGCCTGTTTCACCTCCCCCTGCTCCTGTTGCTGGTGACGATGAGTCCAGCGAGGGTTCCGATGATGATCAGCAGGACGGGGATGGAGACACGGCGATGACCGCTGCCGACAAGGAGGAGCGCGATGATCTGTTCGAAGACCTCATTGGAGGTATGACCGATGCATTCGAACGCATGCCCACTCCTCGCGATGCAGAGAGTGTTATTGCGGCTAACCGCGACGCTGCCCGTCCTCCGGCAGTGCCGTCGCTTCCTCTCTCCGGCGTGAAGAGAAGACCGAAGCCTTTGGGCGGTGAGGAAGCCACTGGGCCTTCGGCGGAAAGTCGACAGCAGTATGCGCACTACAGAAGCTTTGTTTCCGAATCCGAAGCGCGTCGGGAACAAGCCTCACAGGTCAAGGCGCTTATTGCTGAGAAAGCGAAAGGCGCGACCAACGTTGAGAGCGCAGAGCACCTGCGAACCATCGCTGATGGGCTCGCAAAGGTCATTGATCCGAACATGTGCGATGATAACGTGTTCCAGGGAGCCCTGTATCCTCCGGGTGACTATGCGCTTGACGCAGTCACCAACCGGTTGGCCCAGGGCCGACGCCGAGTTGAGTCCAACAGCACTCTTATTCGGGAGATGGCCAGTGACCGATTCACGCCTGTGCTCGTCAACCGTGATACGGGTGAAACCGTGTCGGCAATTGATGCACGATGGACTCCCGAGTATGGGAACAGGGGGGAGCTCGAAGCCAAGATTGGTGCGATTATCTCCAACCTTGATGCTGCGATTGCGAGCATGGCGACTCTCCCTGTGTTCCATCCGCACATCCCTTCGACCTGTGGTATGGCCCGATCATTGCTCAACACATACCAGTCGTTGCAGATTGCTATCCGACATCGCGGCATGGGTGCGATGGCTTTCGAACAAATGGTGTTCAAACCAGAGGACCTTGAGGCTCCGACTCCCGATGACTGGCCGGACCTCATTGCGCCATTTACTGGGAAGGCTATCCAGGCCATGCGTGTCGCTCTGGTGGGCAATACTGCGGCCAGGCTCACCAGAGAAGATCTTAAGCTGCCACCGGGATACACCATGCAGTGTCGGGTGACCAAATTCCGAAAGCCCGATGAAGACCCGGTGCAGAGCCTGATGGGGCTCACGAACGACATGAGCTACGGCTCCACCGGCCGAACTGGAGATGACCGATTGTCCCAGTTCCAGCGTAGCGTTGCGGCGCAACTGCAGAACACTGCGGGATTTCTCGCGGACGAGTTCAGGAGACATGCCCGATCTATTGCTGCCTCCTCATCGCGTCGCAGTGATGCGTCTGGCGCCGTGAGCAGCCAAGGCGACGGCGCGGCGGAGAGCGATCGTCAGTCTCATGTGCTGACTGCACCTGCGTCGGACCGAGCAACGACGCCTCCCCCGCCATCCGAGGATCCTCCTCCCCCGCCGACGGCGGACGCCTCCTCGAAGGCCTCTGAGGATACTGCGAGAAGGGATGGTGAAGACGCCGAGATGAAGGACGATACGGCCGAGCAGAAGCCCGATGAGGATGACAAGATGGGTGATGGAGAGGAGCCTACAGACGAGGTCCCCGGCAAGACCCCGCCGCCGGCTGCCCCAGCGGTCGATATCGACCCTGCCAGCACGGCGGCTGAGCAGGCTGCAATCGATCCGAAGACCTGCCGGATCGAGGGCCCTGGCATCAAGGCGACAACGATACATCGCCCCGACCAGATGCCCGAGAGGGGACTTGAGTCCATCTCACCGATTGTGGAGTACGAGATGACATCCGTTCCGGTGGCGCTGCCGGAGTTCGTCGTTCCGGGACTCGACATGGGCATCGATGATTCCGTCCACGGGCGACTGGTGTCTGCAACCTGTCTCCCGCCAACAGACGAGCAGCGTAAGTATTCGAGGCGCCGATTCGCTATGATCTCCTCGAATCAATCGATGTACTTGAACGTTGCACTCCACAGTAAGCCCGAAAAGGGGGATTACGATTCTTTCCTCCGACCGGAAACTTATAAGGAGTGCCGTGACATCAACGACGCTGCCAGGGCGTACAACGCCCGAGAGGAGCGAATCCGCTCTATCGGTGGAGCTTCGATCAATTGCAGCCGCTTGCTCATTGATGATGCTCAGAACATTCCTGCTGCAGCTATCCCAGATGAGGCGATGACCGATCTGGTGCGCAAGCTGATGTTCCGAGTGCTGACGCAGACTAAGGAATACCCTTCCGGTGCCGAAGAAGGGTACCGATGACCGAGTGAGGGGCATTCCGTTGTACTCGTACTTCGATTCGAGCGGGATCATCGCGTTCGACATCATTCCGATGTACGTGGAGCGCGAGAGAGAGTACATGAAGGCCAATGCTGGCGAGACAAGCGGCCGAATTCTTCTCCAGACCGATATCCTGGATGAGAACAAAGAGCCGACAGAGCTCACGCTCCAATGCATCATGGAGATTGCCAGAACGGACAACAACCGAATGTTTGAGTTCTTCTACTCCACGATTAATAGTGATGGAAGCCCTCAGTTCGTCGGGGTCCGTGCAGCATACGGGTTCGGTCCTGATAATTTCAACCGATTCCGACAGCTGACCAAGTCTCAGTACGGGCCATTCCTTCCGCTGGCAAACGAGCTCTATATCGCTAATGAGCGAAGAAGGAGTGTGTCCCGACACCACCCCCAGTACGGATGGGGGTGCGCAACGATTCGCGAGTTCTTCGGGTACATGAGCGACTGCCAGGTCGGCCCTCCGAAGGGACAGTTGTTCCTCACCCTGCTCCCGTTCGCTCCCGGATCTGGGAAGAACAATGAGTGGGAAGAGGTGTACATGAATGTCCGGATGAACCCGAAACGCGAGACGCTATCGAACACGGCGCTTTCGAACTCATTGCTCCCCGAGGGAATGGGATCCAACCGCATGATTGTGTTCGCGATTGACCTGCACATGATTGCTGCGGGCATCAATCCGGTGTCCTATCACCCGAGGGGCTACTACGCGATTAAGGACAGTATCCCTCTTGCGTGCATGCCGATTGCATACTTCATGGACACGGGATCGATTGTGTTCAACACGGCCTTCAAATACATTGGAGGTCCGAAGTTTGGCACTGGCCCTGCGCGAGGCAAACACAACCGAGAATCGTGGCCTCTCGCCAGTTTCAACTGCCCTATGTGCGGTACGGCGTTTCCGGTTGGTCTCCACCTGTGCCATTCGTGCACGAAGCCGATTCACTACCCTGACGGGATGTTCTACGCCGATTTGCGGAACCCCTTCCAGGTTGAATACTACGGCAGTCATGCTCCGTGGCTTAACGAGATGATCGAAAGAAATAAGCTCACGGACTTCGCGCTCCACGAGTACGCAGCGATCAAGCAGCTGAGAAACTTTCCGGCGTCAAGATCTCTAGCCGAGGATCACCGGCAGACTGCATTCTTCGGAGTGCCACCGATCAAGTGTATCGCTGCTGATACGTCTCCGAAAGAAGTGGAGCTGTTCAACAGGAGTGTGCGCGGAACGATTCAAGGCGCCATTCGATTGGACATCTCAATTGAGAGGCTTGTGGCAGGGATTACGGGGAAAGAAGCCCGATGTGGCGTGGAAGAGTTCCTCGAATCACAAACGATACCCTGTGCCACTACGATCGCCAAGCACTTCGGGGCACTCTTTGCCACGTGCCGGGAGAAGCCACTATGCACTGCCAGCGTGCCTACCGAGTCTGCTTGACCCGTGGGTATCTTGCCCCCTTTTACACGGGTGAGACGGTGAATTACACTGTCGACCCCGATATGTTGGAGAAAATCCGACTGACTCACTGACTCACTTGCCGCTCCAGAATGCCAATCTCGAGATGAGAAGGCACGTTCGGCTCTCCACCGAGTTCGATACGTCCGTGCCAAGATCACCGACACGAAGAAATACCAGCGATATATGCGTGTTGACAGTGAGAGTCTGTCAGCGCTCCTCGCCAAGGTTACCCTCGCGACATGCTACGGTATTCCCGTCAAAGGGGAACCTGGGTACATCTCCGATGATGAAAATGAGGAGATCGAGGGCGCTGCCGAGGCGACAGGTGAACCCAAAGGAAAAGGAAAAGGGGACGAAAGCGCCGGTGCTCAGGCCATCAACTGGCGAGAACTGGACCCCTTGGGACGACGGTTCATCCCGCATCATTCCGATAGCAGATTTGCGGTGATCGACGAGGGCAATACTGAGGACCTCGATGGACCTGATGCCTCCGACCAGAAGCGTCAGGACTTCAAGGAGTTTGTCCGAGATCACGCATACAAGACAAAACAGAGCTTCGATGAGGACAAAGACATCGAAAAGACCTTCTTCGGTCTTGTCGAGGGCGTACAGAGTCAGCTCCCAGACGCCAAGAGCACTGATCCGCTCTCGATGGAGACGAAGCATGACGTCTTCGAGGCCCTACCTGATGAATTGGAGGAGCCTCATAATCTGCTCGATGTCGCTGGTCTGAGAAGGAGGCGTGATGAGACGCCTCAGCGTCGGGTGCAGACAACCGCACCTCGAGAAGCGCCGATTCCCGAAGCTCACACCGTCCCTGTACCCCCGGAGGCCGAGGACGAAGACGATGACGAGCTTGATCGGGTGGTTCGTCCTGCGCAGACGGCTCCGCGAGTAGGACGTGAGCATCTTGGCGGTGTTACCCCTGAGGTACTTCCGCCGGAGCCGCGTGAGATGCCGCCTCCGTCTAATCCACCGACTCGGAAGACGCAGCGGCAAACGGGATTTAGCGTGCCACATTCTGAGGGAGAGGCGTTGAGGGTATCGGGAAGAAAGCCCTATTCCGATAAGATGGGGCTGCCCTAGCGTGCCACATTCTGAGGGAGAGGCGTTGAGGGTATCGGGAAGAAAGCCCTACCTGCAGACCTGTCCTTTGTTGGATTTTGCGCTTTGTGTCTTTTGAAATTTGTACTTTGGGGTGCGCGTTGTTGCATTTTGTCCTTTCGGGTCTTGTGTGTGTTGCCGGCACGTAGCTCCTCCGTTGCCGGCAGTTAGCTCGGCGGTTAAGAGGCCTTGACAGACGTATTCCGCCAGGAAGTTAAAGCAAAAATCTTGAGCATCATGAACATCAGGCGCGCAAAAGCACCCGAACACTCAGCGAGCATCCGGAAAAAGTTGACAGCATGAGCATCCGGACCTTAAGAGTCGGTAGCAAGCATCAGGAGAATCAGAAAAGCGGACTCGAGCCAACAGAAAGCGTAGGATAGTAGTGTAGTAGCAAAATATGTCTATATATATATGTAATATATATATATATATATAGAGTATACATGACCACGCTTTCGATTGAAAAGTTTAGGCCTTGAGGCTGAGGATTCTTTATGACTGTTCCCTAGAACTATATAGAGCGGCTGGTCTCTATATACATCCTAAACCCTAGCTGAGGCTTTAAAAGGCCCCAAACTCTGAAACCTTCGCGTTCAGGGTTTTCGGGCTTGAGGGCTTGAGGGTTTTGGGTTCAAGGCTGCACGACGGTTCCTTAATATGGGGGTTTGCTTCGCGTTCAGGGTTTTCGGGCTTGAAGGCTTGAGGGTTTTGGGTTCAAGGCTGCACGACGGTTCCTTAATATGGGGGTTTGAGTGTTTTGGGCTGAGGGTTCAGTGTGAAGACTGCTCCCTGAAAGGGGTTGCACCGACCTAAACTCTGAAACCCTCGCATTCAGGGTTTTCGGGTTTGAGCGCTTGAGGGTTTTGGGTTCAAGGCTTCACGACGGCTCCCTAGTAATATGGGGCTTGAGTGTTTTGGGCTGATTCAGTTTGAAGACCGCTCCCTGAAGCTACGTGGTGTTTGTGTTTTGCCGAATTCCGAACGCCCTGGACCAAATCCAAGCCTGATCAAGGCCTTTAAGATTTGGGTCGTGCTTGATTCGGCTGAGGGTTAATTTGGGCTATCGCGGCTCTCGAAGGCTTCAACAGGATGGTACAATCTCTCGATTTGTGCGAAGTCTGCTTTCCGCAGGGGGCTTCATGCATGTACCGCTCCAGATCGAAATTTTCTCGCTGCTGCACATCTTCGCATTCAGTTGCAACAGCCAGCGCTGTAGCAAGCGCTTCGACAGCGTCGAGCAATGCACTGCGCCTTTAGCGACCTTGCACAATTGCCCTACCCAGTCTTCTTCTGTAAAACAACTGCAGATTTTGGCATTCAAGCGAGAGCCAGCTTCGATACGGAGCACGATCTGGCAGTGGAAAGCGTGAAGCTTCGGCCTCACTTTATACCTTGGATCGATTATGCGAGGGTGATACTGTTAAAACCTGTTATATAGGGTTTCGGGTTGTTAAGGCTTTATCCAGAAATCGCTCCGGAACCCTTACTTTACACAAGTCGTCGATCAATAAGATGGCGCAAGTTGCAGCGCACGATTGGCAGCGAGAGCTTGCTGGGCCAGCTTGATGTAGCACTGGACATACAGTCTACCGGTCCTCGGATGGAGATATATCATTTAGGGATTTTATAAGGGTAGGTATATAGGGTTTATAAAGCCTTTATAGGGTGGGTTACGGCGTTGACAGTCTTGTGCAGCACATCACAATCGCACATGCCGAAATCTATTGATCGTGCTCATGAGAATTCGTGCCGCGAAACCGCACACGTTAAATGCTTAGTGCATTCGCTTTAAATTCGTCGACGATCATGATGCGAAAAGCGGCTGTGCAGCACAATACAAAACCGCATGCCGAAATCCTTACAATGCCTAGCCTATCGCATGGCTTTGTATAAGACTGCTCATACATGATGCGCACATCGCAGAATGCATGCGTGCGATATAGGATCGGGAAACACAGTTTCGATCATTATGGCCGTGTCGCATCCAACAAGCCTGGTCGTCAACAGGTCTTTGCTTTCTTTGACAGATTGCAGCGCCGCGACAAGCATGAGAGACTCGGCAACGATATCAGTACACTGCGATATTTGTTCGGCCATCGAAGCAGCTCAAACAAATTAGTCTCATATATTGCTTACACAATAAATACGGATCTATCTTCAAGCTCGGGTACAAATGACGAACGAGTATACATGAGCGAATATATTTATGGGATACGTGGGGTATGATAATACTGCATCGATCAGGCTGATCGATGTCTGCTTCTCAGAAACTATAGCTTTTGCTTTTCCTCTTCTACGGCTAACGGTTTGTCTCATAGCCTTCCACCATGATTTCCCCAGTACTGCTGACGCAGAACAAGTTTAAGTCTTAAGTCATGTATGTCCTTACTGTAATATTAACCCGACACTGCCACATTCGAAGCGCCGTGTGCTCTAGTCCCGCTCCCCCATCCCGCCCCTATACAGCTCGACAATGCCACCCTAGGCGCTTGGCTACTATCTATTTGGTGGTTCAAAACTTTTGGCAACCAGAGGGTCTTATGAAATTTGAGCCTATTTCACCCCGACTTTGGATTGAACCTACCCACAAATTGCAGCCCGGATTCTGAACGAGCAGTTTTGCTTGTTCGTCCGTTAGCCAAACGCCAGCTTCGTCACAGACTGCTCCAAACGTGTGAAGTGCCCACACGCAAACGCCTTGCAGTTGCAGCGTCTTGCTGTCCTGGGCTGTTTATTCAGAACGTACATACCGAACCAGCAGCTTGTTAACTTTTCCAAAACATTCGAGCTCAAAGACGTTGCACATGAAGTCTAGTTGCTCGCAGTCGCTCTGCGAAGTAAGCAGTCCTAGGCTTGCATGCTGCTTTTTGCACATGTTACACTCTTGTCGCAAAGGCATTGACTAGAAGCGGCCAAGCCACATCACTTTGTTCGTGTAGCCTTTGCTAGGCCCCAGAGGAAAATCGAGGCTGAGGGTTTCCACCGATAATCGTGTAAGACCTTATGGTGGAATTCAAATTTTTTTCTGTTGCATACGACACCAAATCCAAAAGTGCTCCCCAGTGAAAGCCAAGGCACTCAACTCCTCGATTGTTGATGGCCGAATGTTGTTGTCAGAGCACCATAATTGCATGTCTCGCCGGAGTCCCCGCAAACGCTCGTCGTAGGTGCTACCACTGTATAGGCCGGATTTTTCGACGACCTCAAGGCACAGACTGCCTATCAAGTCCCGGCCCGTTCCTGTCCAGAGCGTGTGAAGCAAATCTGGAACTTCCATTTCCGGCTGCCAGCCAGGCACCGTCTTAAGCGGAATGTCGCCCACAGCGGTCAAGCGTGCTGTTTGCAAGTCGGCCGGTGCATTAAAACGCTCCTCCGCGTCTAGCCACGTGTCGCGAGTGCATAGGCATCTCGGACACACGCCATCTGTTGTGCTCTGCACCTTCATGTAGTGCCGTGATTGCAATAACCATTCCACTCTCCATTTCCAATCGCCTTTCCCCCCAATGATGTGGAGAGTATGGCCCAAACCGTTGTCAGGCGATGCGCATTGCCGGAGCGAGCATGCTAAATCGCTTTGGAACTGTTGAAGCGAAACATTTACCCCAGCGGTGTCGTAGGCGAAAAAGTCCGATTGGATAATCTGGCATTTGGATATATTCATACCCCAAACTGCAAAACCCAAAGAGAAACTCAACCGAATTTATTAATTCGGCCAGGTTGCAAGGTACGGGTATTTCGTGTACATCGTTTCGCCAGTTACAGCCAGAGGACTCCAACTCAAAATGAGCATGTTCTTCTTCCTCTTCGACTGCCCCTCATCCCCATGTATCGTGATGCCGTATGCGGTCGCTCTGCTGCTTTCGTCCCAGGACTGTACCGGGTGGGACCTGCGTGCTAGAAAGGTTTGAGAAACCCTATGTAAAGTTAAACCGAGTTTCAGGTTCAGGCTCTATACGGCTAGCGCTTCTCAAAAAGCCCAAGCCTCCCCCAGTCCTCATTCTTGGCCTGGGACCAAAACTCCAGCCAATTCATGTCTCCGGACCTCAGCTGCTGTCTAACGGATATATAGGGGTAAGGCTTAGATATAAACAGTTACTTAAGGATAGGGTGATATATGAGTTTGCAGGTCACACATAGGTATAGGGTTGAACTTTAAGCTTTTAAGGTGTAGGTTCCGGGGTTTGGGATGAGTCTAGAGGGCACACCCAGTACATATCATACAGACATGGCACAGCTCGCTCACCATTCCAGCCGAAACCAGGGCTTTGAAAATATCAAACGGCCGGTAAACTGGCCATTTCTCAAAATACTGAGGCACAGGTGCTGCATTCTTGCTTTTTTTCCGAGGCCTCGCTTTCGATTTGGCCCTCGATTTAGCTTTTGCCTTGGGAACCAAAGCCGCTGTTGCTTTGCGCAAGATCTGTCGTCTCTTATTGTAGCTCAGCTTGCGGTTGCATTCACGTCGCCTTGCCAACCGCAAATCCTTCACCAGCACAGACACCAGCGAAACATTGATTTTCAGCGGCGCCTTAGATAACACGTTCGAAGTGAAACTACTCTAAATTTTTAACCCGGAAGCACAGCTAGTGATATTTCGAAAAGGCACATCGCTCGAAGAGCGGCTGGCCGCTCTGTGCAGAGTCTCCTCCACGTGATCCTGCCGCCTGCCTCCAGCTCCCATTTTGGAAGCCCACAAGGTACCTGAGCGTGTCGTTCTCATCTCTGTGCATTCCCCCGCTCTCCCAACCCCAGTCTCCCGCTCGCTCTCACTCACACTCGCTTTGCACCTTTCACACACACTCTCTCTTAAGTAATTAAGTGTTGTTCAAAAGAAACAATCAAGAACATCATCAATATAGTGCGCACGAGGGGCTCCTGGAGATGTTTCGAGGCCCCGATTCAGACACGGCAGCTTCAGCCACTTTTTGCATCATAGCTGCAGCACCCCCTCTCCCCACATTCCAGGCCAACTGCCGGGTAAGCGGAGATGCTTTCAAGGAAAAATCTGCATTTGAGGAGCTCGGCTCTTCATCAGTCAAACACTTTCTCTGTTGCGCCAGCTTTTGCGCACGTTTCAGCATTGCTTCCACACATGCTCAGAAACTACATGGAACGTTATTATACTGATGTCTACAGGCAAATCTTTTGCGTATGCCAGGCAATATGCTTCTACATGAGAGAATTTAAGAGAATAGTACGTTGAGGGTATGGGTATACGGCTTAACGAATCTCGGTCACTAGAGGTTTTCAGGCTGTGGGGTACGGCTTAACAGGAAAAGTTCAAGGGCCTCGGGTATTCATGACCGCATCTACAAGCAGAGCCTGATTTGTGTTGGTGACAGAACATATGTAGGCTCATGCACACATATCGGAACGTCTGTGTGTTCAAAACAGTCGCTCGGCACCTAGATTGAATGTGTTTTCGAGCGAGATTCTCTCGGCCGTCGCCCCGCTGACACAGTCATGTTCAGCACGACTGTGCAGGCTCCCTAACCCCGGCTCAGCTCCCTATGTTAGTGACAAGATGCTACCTTCTAGATGAGGTTCTATTATAGGGTTTAGATAAGCATAAGGCATAGGGTTTGTACGGTTTGGGGTTAAATTGCGCTCGCGTCGGTTGTCAAAGCCACAACAGTATTGTTGATCTTGTCACGAACCTGGAGAGAGGCTGGAACTAAGCTTGGCGTCGCAAGCGGTCATCTTCTTAAAAGCACATCGGATGTAGCCGTGATCCCAGCTGATCTGAACTCAATCCGAAGTCGAATACCGGCGGCCATATGTATGCATCTAGCAGTAGTAGTATAGTACATAGTAGTACTCTATAGTAGTAGTGGTAGTAGTAGTAGTAGTAGGAGCCGGTTGAAAGGACACTCAGCACGTTGAGGTGTGTGTTCGATTAAAGGTGATCAGATCGAGTGCTGTTTTGTGTCCTTCCTTCCAGGCTTGTAGTAGTAGTAGTAGTAGTAGTAGTAGTAGTAGTAGTAGTAGTAGTAGCAGTAGCAGTAGCAGTAGCAGTAGCAGTAGCAGTAGTATAGTAGCAGTAGTAGCAGCAGCAGTAGCAGTAGTAGTAGTAGTAGTAGTAGCAGTAGCAGTAGCAGTAGCAGTAGTAGTAGTAGTAGTAGCAGTAGTAGTAGTAGTAGTAGTAGTCGCAGTCGCAGTCGCAGTCGCAGTAGCAATAGCAGTAGCAGTAGCAGTGGCAGCAGCAGTAGCAGTAGTATAGTAGTAGTAGTAGTAATAATAGTAGTAGTAGTAGCAGTTGTGTAGTAGGGCTTTATAAGAGGCTTTTTCAGGCAGGGGGTTTTGGCTTTCGGGTCGTAAAACGTCGGTTGTCAAAGCCACATCGGCTGTGATCCTGTCAGAAGCCTGGAGCAGAGGCTCGAACTCGGCTTGACATTGCAAGCATGTGTCAAAACACATCGGATGTTGTCATGTCTCAGCTGATGATTCGAGTGCCGAAGTAGGAGTACGACTGGATAGCAGGTTGTACAACACATGGGTTTAATTAGGATGTTGGGGCAGTAGCTAGGTATATAGTGGTCGGGAGGAAATCCCCAAACACAAGAAGAAGAGGTGGTGACGATGGCGGTGCTGGCGGTGGTTCATGGTGGTGTACGAAACCAACTAACTAATTGTGTAGCTAGCAAGGCAAGAGACACATGGAGCTACCATGAGCTACCTACATTTCTGATCATGGCCGGCTGGCGGTAGTACTGTGTTGGACTTTAGCTACCTATCTAGGCCTTAGGGTTCAAATCGAGGGTTAAGGCATATAATTCAAAAACCCAGCTGATCATGCCACCGACGTCTCCTTCGCCTGCGGAGCCGCTTTCGACTTCGCCTTTTTCTTCGGCTGCGTCAGGCGTACTTCAGAAGTGATCCTGGGATGCGAGTGGTTCAGATATACTAGGGGTAGCTGTGGTTTTGGGTGGTCTGGCGAGATTACGGCTTGGGATTTATGATGTTGTTTTTCAGGGTCGTTGACATACTTGGTTTTGAGAGGATCTGCTTCAGAGAGCACATTAATGTATGGGCAAGATTCAGGCTCGAGGCCACCCGCTGGTGCTTCTTAAAAGCCTCCACAAAGGGCGCCGCCTCAGTTTGAGATTCCGACAAGATGGCCAGAGGGTTTAGGGTTTAGGGCTGCAGGGTTTTAGGGTTTCAGGGTCTATATAAGGTTTGCAGGTTTGGGGTTTCCTTCAACAAAGGGTTTCTGGCTTCAGATTGTACAGATTTGGGGTCTCGCCACAACTCAGCTACAGATCGGGTTGGCAAGCCAACGTGCTAGCATTTGTGGGTTAAAGGCTTCCGTAAACAAGTAGTTGATACTTTAGGACTTGAGGGCTTGGGTTTTATTTAGGCTTCAGGATATAACGCTTTAAACCGCAATGCAGCCCCAGTCAGGTTGGCAAGCCAACATAATCATGTAGGCAGGAAGCCCGAGCAAGGACTGCGTGAACACGTTCGATAGGCGGTTGCTTGCCCAGACTCCGGAGTGCTTTTCGCGCTTCTGTCATTCCCGCAATAGCGTCTGTGATCAACTCGATCAAAGCCCCTTGGGACTCCAAGGCCTCAAGCCTCGGATGATGAAGATGATGCTCTTTATTAAGGGCTCATATGTGGCAGTCTTTTCAGTCTAGTCACTCACTCTTGAGTGTCGTCGCTTTCCCCTCTGCAGACGTGCAAGCCTGCAGCCAGTTCCCGATGAACCCGTCCACATCATTGGCGTCCATCACCAGAACTTCGAGCTCAGCCCCCTGAATCAGGAAGTATGTCGCGATTGAAATAAGGAAACGAACATACCTCACAACAAAACCCGGAATGTCGGCCTGGGGTTTGGGAGCTTTGGCTTTCTTCTTGGGGGGAGGTGGCAATTCCTTCGGCTCTGCGGCAGCCGGTTCGGGCAGCCCCGTTCTCGGTGGAGGCGGCCCCGCTGGAGCTGCTTGGTTAACGGGGTTGCCCTTCTCAAAGCTTTCCATCAAGGAAGCCGCGAATTTCGGGTCGCAGCCAAGCGACACCGAAATCTCGTCCTGAAATTCTGGTTTGCCGACTACAGATCTCGACGTAAGCTACAGGTTTGGGGTAGTATAGGGCACGACTACTTGGAGGGTCGGGGGACTTAGTAAGTAGTTATTTTATAGAGTTATAAGTACCATAACCCCAATTAGGGTCCCTATTAAGGTACCTATAAGTCCATATAATAACTACTTGCTAAGTCCCCCGACCCTCCAAGTAGGGACAAGGGTTCGAGGTTCAGGGCTAATATTGAGCAGCCTGGGCACCAAGGAGCGGGTTGTCCACTCTCGGGATTCCCTTGCATAATACAGATATGTTTCGACGGTCGGGTCGTTTCTGTCCACGGAGGTACTGAGCTTCAGCAAGCGGTTGTTTTAATGCATTGATATGAACTCATCGCTCGTGATCTTGTTTCAGTCTAGGCACCCTTTGCTTTGACCACGGCGCATTTGCACGAAGCTGTTGGCCTTCTGCAAGTCGCCGTTGTGGAACGCCAAGATGTCGGTCCAGTTGTAATATTCTCCTGGAGTGTGATTTAGGATTTGGGTTGGCGAGTTCAGGGATATTATATAAGGTTTAGAAACAGTCGGTTAGGGTTGATGTAGGGCGCTAAGGTTTATTTAGGGTGTATATAGGGACTCTGGGTTTAGGGTGGTTTCAGATTGACATTCGCACGGTGTTCTAGGGAGTTAAATCTATTTCGAGCCTTGGGTGTGAAGTGATCTTGGAGGTGAAACAGTTTAAGGTGTCATGGGGTTCGGGTTCACTTCTTCATTTAGGTTGGATTAGTTCGGGCTCGACGTTCAGATGTGAATGATTGTCGTTTTGAGGATAGTAGGGTTTAGGGTGGCTTAATTAGTAAGGTTTGTGTGACACCCTGTCCTTGGTCTCGCTGCTTCTCTTCTTGCTGTCTAGAGAACCGTAGCACGGCTTCCAGTGCCATCCCATTGCCTGAATAGTGCAAGCTTTGCTAGTTTCAGCTAGCAGAAGCCACCCAAATCAATAAAATCCAAGGAGCATCCAGCCTGCACGAACTTTGCAAAGGCCGCTGTCTTGAAGGCTCCTCCCTTCCTCGCTGTGGAAAAGAATGAACCAATTTAGTATGTCGTAACCCAGATCGCAACAAGAGGAATAGCTTGGAGACTCTCTACGTTTGTAAGTAATTACTGAGTGTGTGGCTCAAAAGCGGTTCGAAGCTCACGAGCGTGCTCATTCCGCTCGCAGAATCGTGTATACACCTTCCACTCGGCAGGGTGGGTCGCACTGTTGATTTTGCCAGACGACACAGGGGCCACAGCTGCATCAGAACCTGCTGGGGCTGGATCGGAATGTGCCGGGGATGCTGCAACTGGAAGAGCGGGGGTCGGCCCTGGCGTGCTGTTCTGTGGTGCGCCTGCTGCTGCCGCGGGCGCTGGTGGCGGAGGCTGTGGTGTCGTTGGCCCTGCGACACTTGCTGATGCAGGGGTCGAAGGTGCGGCAGTCTGCTTTTGCATATCTGCGATCAGCTTGGCGATTGCTTCAATCGCACCCGGATCGGTTTGGAGATTCTTGACAAGGTCCTGCAAGCCGACCGCTGCAGGGGCTGCGTTCGGATCCGACGTAGTACCTTGGTTGTCCCGACCACATGCATTGAAGGCCTGTGTTCCCCATACCCCGGACGAGTGGCCAGCAGGGGACGCTTGCGGATCTTGATTCGTACCTTAATCTTGTTGCAGTGACTGAAAGGTGCCTCCAGCTTGGGTATTGGTCAAACGGGCCAAGCTGCCAAAAAAGGTTGTGCTCGGAGTCGGAGTTGCAGGAATGATCACAGCGGCGGTGCCTGGGATGTGTATGTGGTGTGCTTCGGGCGACTAAGCGTCATGCCAAGTTGCCGTCAGCGGGTGGGGTCACAGTCGGTGTTGGCACTGTGCCTACAGTGCGAGGGCACGACTATAATATGATCCTGCTTTCGTAGTCTACGAATTGCTGTCGAACTGCCAGCAACAGAGCTCGGAGTTGCCGGTGCAGCTGTGTCACTGGCGGGCAAAGACCTGAGGAACAACGACAACAGCAACAATCTACTCATTCACGATATGCGTAATGATAATGCAGGTTAGCTACTCGAAGGATGCAGATCGAAGCCGATTCCAGAAAGTCTTGTACTTGGCCTTTTCCTCGTTGCTCAGCTCGGGCAACTCAAAGTCGTCCTAGCAAGCTGCACGATTACCACAACCGAATCCTAAAGGTATTGAACTGCATATATATGTGCTTTATGGTAGTGAACCCGATAGATTATGGTTTCGTTTTCGGGTTTTATAAGACTTCGAATTAAAAGCGTTTAAACGGTTTTAATTCGAAGTCTTATAAAACCCGAAAACGAAACCATAATCTAGGCCAGTTTAGCGGAAGCCAAAGTGACACATTTCGGGGTTTATAAGGATCAGGGTTTTAGGGTTTTATAGGAGATTTGTTTACGTTTAGGTATAATGAAAACACAATCCTTGGCGGCCTTGGCGGGCCCAGCTTTGCCGCGCCCAGGCTTGGGTACAGCTTTCGTCGGAGTGTTGAGGACACCGGGGTGCTTCGCTGCCAGGGCTGCCGAGGCGTCCGGGGACACGAGGGTCTGTTCAGGGATTCGAGGGTCGGGTGCTAAGTGGCAAATACGTTGCAGGGATGGAAAGTATTCTGAATCTATTCTTTAGGCAGCAAGCACCTGAGTCACACGGGCTGGCAGACTATAGTCCTCGAAAGAAGCAGCAGTCGCTAGAGTTGACAAAGTACGCACGGGAGGAGCAGTGACACTCGGGTGTTCTGGTGTGACCCCTGTTGACTGTGCCTTCGTGACTGCTGTCGGTGGCTGGGCTTTCTTTGCTTGCTCGTGCGCTGCTCGCTCGGCTTCAGCTTGTGCCTGCTCCACAACCACAGTTTGCTCGGCTCTGGCCTTGCTAGCAGACTCTGCTTTCTTGGACGCTTCCAAGAATTGTTGCCTGGCTAACTCTGCCTGCTCAGCGAGCTTTTGCGCGTTCAAACGAAGCACGTCGGCGCTGAGTGCTGCCTGCCTTGCGTCCGAAGTGAGCTTCCGTCCGTACTCCTCCTCCTTCTGTAGCAAAGCTGAAGTGTCCTCACGTTCGCCCTGGTTTTGCTTAGCCTCTACGAGCACTCGCTCTGCTTTCTGAAGCAACACTGCTGTGGCCGGTTCCGTTTTCTTTGCTTGCTCCGCCAGTGCTTGTGCTGCTCGCTCGGCTTCGGCTTTCTTTGCTTGCTCTGCCAGTGCTTGCGCTGCTCGCTCGGCTTCGGCTTTCTTTGCTTGCTCCGCCAGTGCTTGCGCTGCTCGCTCGGCTTCGGCTTTCTTTGCTTGCTCCGCCAGTGCTTGCGCTGTTCGCTCGGCTTCGGCTTTCTTAAACTCCGCAAGTGCCTGTGCTGCTCGCTCGGCTTCGGCTTTCTTTGCTTGCTCCGCCAGTGCTTGCGCTGCTCGCTGGGCTTCTGCTTTCTTTGCTTGCTCCGCCAGTGCCTGTGCTGCTCGCTCGGCTTCCGCTTTCTGAGCTTGCTCCGCCAGTGCCTGCGCTTCTCCCTCGGCTGCGGCTTTCCTTTGCAGCTCTGCCTCGTGTGCTGCTCGCTCGGCTTTGGCTTGCTTCGTAGCTAAAGCTTGTTTTCGCTTCGTCAAAAGTTCTTGGTACCGGGCAGCTGCTGCCTCGGCTGCCTGTTGCTGCAGCTTTAGCTCTTCTTGTTCTTCTGCGTCTATCTGATCATCCACGCTTTGCTCGAGGAGTGTTTCAATCTCATCCGCAGGGCTGCTTTCCGCAAGTGAGTTGGAAGTAGAGAGCCTTTCCAGGCTCAAGGTTTGGCCCAGTACCAGAGTCTCTGCACTGTCAAGCTTGTTGATCTGGGTGTCAACATACATCCACGGCTGGGTTTCCTGATGTGTGACATCCTTCACGTGAGCTGCGGCGGTGTTGGGCTTTGGGGGGCTCAGCTCGACTGTGTCCAACTGCAGCATCCTCTTCGGGGCGTCGGGTCGAGGAGGATTGCTGTCGGGTGGCGTTTCCATGGGCGTAGGGGCTCTCACCGTTGGCTCAGGCGTTTGTGGTGGCTGCGCTGGCGGTGCTGCTTTGGCTGCCGGGGCCATCAAAGCATTCCTGGGCGAAGCTCGATGGCATCACAATCGGGATAATCGTTATGTAGGGTCCTATAATTACCGTGCGAATTATTTGTAGCTTCAAAGAATGTAGTAAAGCGGTTTTATGGTTCGTATTTCGGTTTGGGCTTGTGCTGGAGGATATATTGGCATCACATCGGAACGAGATTTCCTATGAATCTTTCCACATCCAAAGAGTACCAGCACTTAAGAACGACGGGCTTAAGGGTTGCTGTTGGTCTTTGGCGAGATGATCCGATCGAAGTCTCACACACAAACCCACATTCCACAAACTTGTAAAGGCAGCAGCAGCACGTAGCAGCAGCAGTAGTCAATATACTCGTATATAGTATAGTACTGCTCAACACTACATAGACCCTATACTGCCACAAAGATTCACTCGATCCTTCACCATCTGCTGCTGAGCAGGGGTTAGGCCGAGTGCATCTAGGGACACGTGTGCATCCACAGATGCCGCCAGCTCAACCTGGTTCCGATTTGGGCTTAACCTTACATACATACATACACATACATGCAGATGTACTAGATGTCTATGTATATATCTATATACACATACCAACAAAGAACCAAAGTAGAAAGCTTGGATAAATGGCTAGAAACTGGGTCGTTCGAAGCACCAGCCTTCGGTACCGGCTTCTTTCCCATGGCTATAAGGGCTGTCGCCTACCTGATCTCAGTCTAAATCGACCTGGAGCATCAGTTGCCGGGCAGGAATTCATAGGATTACTCACAGAACCGGGCCGGTATTTGAAATTTGCGCTTTTTGACGCTTTTTGACGCTTTTTGACGCTTTTTGACGCTTTTTCCCGCGGCAATAGATCAGGGTTCCGGGGGGGGATGTGTCCAGAATCCTAGCAGCATTTGAAATTTGCGCTTTTTGACGCTTTTTGACGCTTTTTGACGCTTTTTGACGCTTTTTCCCGCGGGTATAGGTAAGGGTGTCGCGAAGGGAATTATAGGAGCCATGCAGTCTTTCTATCGATATCGATCGGTAGTTCTTCGCTAGTTCTGGGATTCTGCAATTCGGATTGTGCTATTTAGCATTATATGTTGTGGGTTCGTGTTCTACTATAGTACCTCAAGCTTATACAACGTACCTCAAGCTTCGAGGTACTTGTATAAGTTCTTGTTGTAGACGTGCTAGGTTTGCGTTGGGAAGTAAAATGTGTTTAGCAACATATATACTTAGAAATCGGGAAGTTTATTCGGAAATAATTGTACTGGCAGCACAGTCAAAAATTGAAATTTGTACTTTCGGGAACTGGCAATATCGATAATATGGGGAGTTGGTGCTAGCAACAATGAAATTTGTACTTTGGGAATTTGTACTGGCAACACAGCACGATTGAAATTTGTACTTTGGGTGATGGGCAGTTTGTAATAGCAACAATGGAATTTGTATTTTGGGTTTGAGAATTTGTACTGGCAACACAACGAAAATTGAAATTTGTACTTTGTGTGATATATGGGCAGTTTGTACTAGCAACAATGGAATTTGTACGGGGTTTGCATGAGAATTTGTACTGGCGCACAGAAGGAAATATTGAAATTTGAAATTTGTACTTTGTGTGATATGGGCAGTTTGTACTAGCAACAATGGAATTTGTACTTTGGGTTTGAGAATTTGTACTGGCAACACAACGAAATTTGAAATTTGTACTTTGTGTGATATGGGCAGTTTGTACTAGCAACAATGGAATTTGTACTTTGGGTTTGAGAATTTGTATTGGCAACACAATGAAATTTGAAATTTGTACTTTGGGTGATATGGGGAGTTTGTACTAGCAACAATATGGAATTTGTACGGGGTTTGCATGGGAATTTGTACTGGCGCACAGGAAATATTGAAATTTGTAATTTGTGTGATGGGGGGGTGTTCTAGCAACAATGAAATTTGTACTTTGGGAATTTGTACTGGCAACACAATGAACTTTTGAAAATTGTGCTTTGGTTGATATGGGGGGGGGTGTGTTCTAGCAACAATGAAATTTGTACTTTGGGAAAATTGCTTGAAATGTGTGAAAGGAGAATTTGTACTGGCAACATAATATCTTTTGACAACGACAATTTGTACTCGCAGTTAATGGAATTTGTACATTGGGAATTAATTGCACTATGGCAACACTATGAACGTATGCATGAAATTCCTATACATTCGGGAGTTTTGTACAAGCTATATATATATGTATATATATATATATATATATATTAATATTAATATTCCAAGTTTGTACATAAGGAATATTTGCATAGGCAACACCATGTATATCTATATCTATATATATATATATATCTACATCGACAAACCTTTCGACTTTCTACTTCGGCAAAGGTTTATGCACAGTCGAGAGTTGCACAATATAAGGAATATGCCTCGATGATTCACGCTGCTTCGTGAGCCCATGGCTGGATCTGTTCTGTCCCACAATTTCGATCCTTATTCTTATGTGGGTTCGCTGTTGTTCCTGTACTTGGTCGTATCTCTGTCGGTTTGGGGCCCCACACAAATCCAAGAGCGTATGTCAACCAGCACCCACCAAAAACGAGCATCATGAGCATCAGCCGGCTTTGGGGCGAAATCAACGCGAGCATCATGCTTATTGAAGCTTCGACACTAAGCGGGTGCTTAAGCAAAACCACTTGAGTGGTTGTGCTTTAGCACCCGCCTCATACTGGCGCAATTGACATTGCCAGCATGATCCTCAGCCGGTTTCCCTCCCCACCACCAAATCTGTATCAAGAGCAGGTTTTTATTGATGCGCACTTGCAAATGGGGGCGGTCAAAGGGAAGCCAATTCCCGGTCCCGGTTTCGTGCGGCCAAAGCAGGAGGTTACATACCTATATGGAAATACACGTACACACTACACATACATAATACTACATATACACAAATACGTATACAAAATGGTGCGAAACGTACATGCACACGTTCACATACATATACATAGCACGTACATATGCACATATACAGATACACATACACATAAACATATACACATATATAAACATATATACACATATATACACATATATACACATATGCAACCTATTATATACATATATATATATATATATATATACATATATAGATATCTACATATATACATATATACATATATACATATATACATATATACATATATACATATATACATATGTACATATATACTTATATACATGTATATACATATACATATGTACATATTCACATATGCATTTTTCTCATATATACATATTGCTAAATATATACATTGCTAACGGTTCCCTCCCGGGAACTTGCTATCTTCAAGGATTCTAGACTAAATCGGATAGATTCAGGGCGGGAAATTGCGATTGTCCAGTGTAGAACACATACGAGACTTGGGTGAGTGCAAGACCAGATTCGCCGAAGCCATAACACTGTTTAGTACCCCGCTCGCACATTGAGTCCCCGGGTGCACATCCGCACCACCCTGTCCTTTCAGCCTTTCATAGGAAAGGATGTGGCCAGCATTCTGGCAGATTCAAGCGTCCGCTTCGCACCATCCACCGGGCCACCTCGTAAAGTTGGTCCTCAGTGATGACTATGGTTTTCTGGGAATTGTTTCTCTACACATAGTATATGACAATACATGACTGGTGTAACTAGGCGAGTCTCGTCCTCAGTCCAGTTGATCGGCTCATTAAAGAGAACTTGCAAGTTCTCTTTAAGGTCATACTCAGCAGCACTGACAAAGTATCGGTCATCGACTGTTGCGCACCCCGCGCAAGCTTCCTAGGTTGGGATCCACGCAACAAACAACCTAACCCGAAAACATATGACCTCCCTAGGGCTATTTATCGTTTAGATAGGGGCTTAAAATTGTACGCTATACCGTGCAGACCCTATGAAGCTGAAGTTCTTGTGAGTTACCCAAGCCTCCTCAAAAATTCTCGGCGGGGTTTAGGGTTTAGGGGTCATGGGTCAAGGGTCTATAGAGGTTTATAATGATTTAATTAAGGGGGCTGCAGGCCGTGTTCTTTTTTGGGGGCATTACAAGCTTCGAGGCTTTAGGCCGTATATACCCCTAAACCTCGCAACCCAAATTCCTGAAACAACTTGAACCTTCAATCCTCGATCGAGCCTTTAGAGTCTCAATCTTAGGAGCCCTTGCAAAACCTGAACTTGAAAAGATCGAGACCTTCAGCTGTGGCATTTGGTAGCTATCTGCAACCAGATTGCATCAGATACTTCGTGACACGGCTTGCTCCAAGCATCGAGCACAGCAGCAGCAAACTCAGCCGAGTAGACCCTCGGCTTGTAAGCAAGTAGGGTCGAGCAGCTCCAAAACCCGCAACAGCACCCACGATCCAATAGAAGCAACCCTAGCCCAGGCACTCCGTGGACTTGACTTCGTCCTGGATGCCAGTCTTGCGTTGCTTGCCTTTGGCCTGGGCTGCAGATTTGGTTGCCCATAGAAACTTAAGTGTAGATCATGTTGTTTATAAATAAACCCAGGAGCATCGACATAGGTCTTGGTTATGGTCTTGCGCACTTTCTTGAAAGATTCGGGGTTCGGCGCATTGGCCGCGGATTTTGCCATTAGTTCCTGCCGGGGAAGCAGTATGAAAGGCTTTTCCAGGAGCCCTCGTTTCAATCTGTCTATAGCACGACCTCCCAAAGTCCTGGAAACGGCGGTGATTAACATAGAGCAAACTGGGCTTCTTCGTGGGCATACTGAAGGATGACATATTCACCCTCAAGCGGTAGACCTAGGATCAAGCACACACGGGCAATATTGGGTTTGACCGCTGAGCTTCGGTTGCCGCTAGAGACTGAGAACTGCACTGTCAGTTTTCGGAACATGTCGCGCATGCGACCGTGACTCTCCATCCCACCGGTAGCGTGGTGTGCTGGCTGTTCCAACAACAG